ATCTAGCAGGTCCATACTCACATACTACTGTCCAGGACAAAGAGTACTAATCCAGCTGTCATCACAAACACCGTCTACTCATCAATCCTTCATCTATATCCTAAAATGTATAATTGTACATCATTCTTTTATCCCACAATGAAAATCACCATAAACTAGGAATCATGCTAAGGAGTTTGGTAACCTCATTGATATCTTGGCGTTCCCTATTCAGTAATAATTTTCATCCTCTCTTCTTAATCAATATAGTATCAGGATTACTTCTTTTCTTACCTATTACAGTACACTTAGGCAAAAACGGCTATATGATCAAGATATTATATGTTATTACATCATCCAATATATGTTAATTTTTTATCCCCAGTATGAAACCCGGCAATGTTCTTGAGGTATGTGTAACTGATGAATCACACGATAATAAGGGCAAAATACATCTATATTGGAAAATGATTATACAATACTTCATTGGACCTATATCTGTTTTATTTCCAATTTTTATATATTATATGGCTAGTGAAGACCTTTTCAATAGAAGTATTCCTCTTAGACTCACTACTGTCATTCTTCCGTTTTCATATTCAGCGGAAAGACACTTTTTTTTATTTCATAAGAATTGGATGTCAGCCTATAGATTCGAATTGAAATTAGACAAAATACTCTATTCTATTCTCAATCTTTTTTTTCTTGCATTTTTTTATTATCTCTATACTATCGACTATTTTGTTCTCGATTGCTAGATGGAATGAAGATAAAGGGTTGGCGGCCTGCTCCATGATTTTTCCTTCTTTGTTTGTATCTTTTAGTTACATGTTATCTGTATCTTGTAATCTTAGTCCTGGATCAATTTCTTTAGTCGATAGCAATATTAATATTCTTATATATATATTAATTTTATTACGTACTACAACTAGCTTAATACTCAGAATCAATAGGTCTATGTTCTATTCCTATCCTATTGTTATCTCAGCCTTTTTGATCTTACTGAGGTCTATCCGAGAGAAATATTTTTCATCCAAAAAAAGGACCCTATCTAGCATATCAGTTGTTTTTATCCTTATTCTCAGGTTTCTTATCTATCTAATTACAGCTCGGACATGCTTAATCATTTTAAGGAATCAATATAAAATACAAAGATTAAGGACTTTTCTGGATTCCTCCTAGCCATGACATTCTTAGGAAAAAAGGCATAAGAATAAAGGCGTATTTTTCTTGATATTTAATACATAGTTTTAATTCTGAAACACCTGAATATAAAACTAGATGATCGATATAAATAAATGGAAGATAATGACTTTTTAGACAATCCAAAGATTCTTTCGTACACAAACGAAGCAGTATTTTCATTATTACTTCTATTGTTTGCGATTTGGAGATCTACGAGAAGCACCATCCCTAGTTATAATATATTTAGAGGAAAGCTAAGAAGCCTTGGATCTATTTTCGTGTTGGCATCTATATTCTTCTCTAGCATTTATATATGCATAGTGACATATCTTAGCACCAAACTTGAAATAGACAAACCAAGTATAGAGCTCTTTGGGGGGCTTAATGAGAGCTATCTGATAATATACAAAGGGTTTAAGGTTGATCTTGTGTACCTTCTGAATATCTCTCTTATCGGATCGAGGGTTTTGAGAATGTCATCTGTGTTCCTATTAATCGGGCTATGGGGACCTTGTGCATACTCGGTATTCAATGGAGGAGATAGATCCTTTGATATATTTAAAACTAGCTCGGCTGGGACAAGGACTTTTGTAGCAAAGTCTATGTTTAATACATCTGTCGTTACGTTTTCTAAGATATATGCAGTCCTGAGAGTTCCAGCTCTTTTATATTACTACTACAGCAGGTCAAAACTGATGGGAGAAAAAACTGCGATTTTCATAGAATCATTTCTCCTTGGAAGTGAAGTATATCTTTCTGTAGCATTACTTGTCATACTTCGAACAAAGCATAGCTTTCTATCTGAGTACAAATCTCTTGACAGCACGAATCTACTAAGCTTCTGCCTTATGTTTCATGGATTTCTCACATATACCATAAACACGGTTGCGATTCCATTTCAAATGACTGAATTACACTATCAGATTGAGCAAAGCCTAAGCTTTGGAGCTAGGCTTATACTTGATATGCTTCTAATATCTATGTTTTGCCCGATTAGAGATCAATTATTCGATAATTTTCCAGACAAATATGAAAAGAACCATGAGATAACAAGGGTTGCACGGCTAGAAGACTCAGGGCCCATAGTCCAGGAGATTGAGAGTGTTATCGAATTTGAAGAAAAAGAAATAGGCAAATAAATAAGCAGTTTACCTCATAGAAAAATCTCAAGTAATTTGTGGCTTTTTAAGCATTGGAATTACAACACTTAAGTTGTTCCAATGATTTTATGAAAACGATTTCCTCTTTTCTGATTACGCTAAAGCATACTTGCTTCTTGAAGTTTTGGCGTATTTTGTACTTATGGAGCATTATGGAGTTTTGGTAGCCACATTTGTGCATATTGCCTATTTCTTCCAGAGCATAGTATGCCCTTGCTGCGTCTCTGAAGCACTCTTTACAAATCAGGCAATCTTTGTATCTTACATCTTCAGGCCATTTGTTATCAAATGGGGACTCTACATCCATTGCTTCTATCACTTTACAGCCATCTTCGGATGAAGTGGATTCTTCTTTGGTATCGTTGTATGAACTATTATACATATCACTAGTTACAACCAAAAATCTGGACTCTTTCTGGAGGTCATCTCTGTGCTCACCATAGCAATGTTCGTCTACGCCTTTGTGAGTGAACTTATTACAAACCATCTTCCCTTTATCTTCTTTTGGTCGATGATTGGTTGAATTGATAAGAATGTTGTTTGACAGAAGGAAAAAGCTTGTTACATTATTTTTGCTTTCCTGGTATTTTTGATGAAGCACTCTTTGCCTGGGTGTAAGCTTTGATAGATCTGTTTCTTCGTAGATCGACTTTGATAAAACATGTTTAGAGGGACGTTCCTTTCTTTTAGCTCTTTTTTTGATTGGCTCTATCGACTCTAACGATCTAGGAGATGGAAGAAATGATTTTATTTCGTTGATCATCTTTCCCTTCTCGAACTTCCTGATTATATCCAATGTTGGAGGGAATTCTAAGTATTTGGCGGTATATCCCGGGGTAATCTTCCACGATCTATTGTTTTATTTATGATCAAGTTGAAACGAGCAGTTTTGTAATTGCTATTGAAAACAAATGAGGCTGAAAAAACGAAGATGAACTCCGAAAGCAGTAGCACTGTACTGGCAAGTATACAGAGCAAATATAAGTTTAGAGCAAAAACCCTTGAATACTCCACAGCCTTTTATCCCGATAGATTTATGATTCTCTATAAAGATCGGAAGGCTGGAGAAATCCCTTATGAAAATATCTTGAGAGTTGAAAAAAATAGAGAAGGTCTAAAGTTTGGCTTAAAAAATGGGACATGGGTGAAAATACCATGTACACCAGACGAGAAGAGAAAAATATTCCGTATATTCAAGACCAAAAAACTTGGAGGTATTTTAAGTGAAAGCGATATAATAGGATTGGCACTCGTAGAATTTGCTGACCTAAGGTTTCTTGTTCCTCTTGGAAGCACTTGCTTTGCAGATTTTAAGAAGAATGTGATTAGGAGAATCGGGGGACACTTCCTTCCAACTCAAAGCCTTGATTTTGTAAGCTTGGATCATTATAACGAGTTTTCTCTTTATATCAAGGATAAGGATTCCCTCGTAATATTTGAAAATGATGATGATCTATTATGTAGCCTTTTATATTTTGAGAAGAAGTTGGCTGTGGTAGTCAAACACGTCCCTAAGGTGTCTTAAAATGTCTATGGTCTCAAATGATTTGTTTAGTGTGACCGTTGCCTAGCCCATTAAATGGTTCATAGTTGAATTCTGTTTCATTGAATCTCAATGATTTGAGACTTATATCTTCGAATCAGTGTTTCTTACAAGACTATTGGTTCTTCAGAAAACAAAAGAAGAAGCATCTGTATCCCAAGATGGAAAATGATGATCTATGCGAATTGAATGACCTGAATGAAGATGCTATCCTTAACATACTTGAGAAGAGGTATGCTTCTGGGAGGATTTATACCAAATCTGGATTGGTGTTTCTGGCTCTTAATCCGTATGAGAGCATAAATCCTTATGACAGAAAGTCTCTACAGCCATTCTCTGATTCTACTGGCAGCACGCACGTCCATGATGTGGCGGAGGCATCTTACCAGGATTTACTTGTGCATGGGAATCAGACCATTGTAATTAGTGGAGAGTCGGGATCCGGAAAAACAGAAAATACAAAGCTTGTTATAAAGTATTTAGTAGAAAGAACTGCAAGCAACACATCCATTGAGAGAAAAATAACGGCAGCTAATGCTATTTTAGAAGCATTTGGAAATGCTCGGACCATTCTTAATGATAATAGTTCGAGGTTTGGAAAAAGAATCAAGCTGATATTCGACGGAAAAATAACTGGAGCCAGATTTGAAACGTATCTTCTTGAAAAGAGCAGGGTGACACACCATGAAACTGGAGAGAGGAATTTTCACATATTCTATCAATTTTGCGCTTCTAAGGACTTCAGAATAAAGAATGATTTTATTGATACTTCAAGCCACCTGGGAAATAAAGAAAGCATTGTACAGCTGTCGGAAAATTATGTGGCAACATGTTCTGCAATGAAAAGTGTAGGAATAACTCGTATAAAGGAGATCGAGGATTGCCTCTTAGGAATTCTATATTTAGGATCTATTCAATTCAGCGACGATGGGATTTTGAAAGTTATTAGAAATGAATGCTTCACCGAATTTTGTAAACTTCATCACATTCAAGAAGAAGTGTTTGAGGAATCTTTAGTCAAATTTTCCATTCAGGTCAAGGGAGAAACGATTGAAGTCTTCAATACTTTGAAGCAAGCAGTCACAATAAGAAACTCGATGGCTAGGCTGTTATATTCGAATATATTCAACTATATCACAGCATCTATAAACAATTGCCTAAGTGGAAGTGGAGAGCTTTCTATTTCTGTTCTCGATATATTTGGATTTGAGATTTTTGAAAGCAACGGACTTGATCAACTTTGCATAAATTGGACAAACGAGAAGATCCAGAATGACTTTATCAGAAAGGTTTTCAGAGAAAAACAGGAAATGTACAAAGAGGAAGGCATCGAGTGGAAAGATGTTGAGTTCTTTGATAACAACCAATGTATTATTGATTTCGAAAAGCCTTGTGGGCTTATGGACCTGATAAGTGAGGAGAGCTTTAATGCATGGGGAAATACCAAGAATCTAAACATGAAGATAAAAAGCTATCTAAATGGAAATATCAAAACTAAATTTGATGATAAGATAATTGTATCTCATTATGCAGGAGATGTGGAATACGATCTTAGATTGTTCTTAGACAAGAATAGAGAAAAGGGAAGCCTAAAGATATTCAAGAACGATCTTATTGTTGATGAGCAAAGCAAAGAGGACTTGGTAAAGTACTTTAAAGATTCGATGAATAAGCTACTTCACTCCATAAATGAAACTCAGGCAAAATATATCAAATGTATAAGGCCAAATGCTTATAAGAAGCCGAAAGCATTCGACAGATCGCTAGTATCAAAGCAGCTTGCAGAGTGTGGGATTTTGGAAACTATAAGAGTAAGTAAGCAATGCTTCCCACAGGAAATAAGGAAAGATAAGTTTGAAAACCGCTATAGAATTTTAGGATCTACATTATTTGAGATGGTTGACGTAAAAAAAGGGAAAACCAGATACTTCATGAGTAATGAAACTCTGAAGATCCTAGAAATACGTAGATTTTTATTTCATGACGAGTGCTTCAGAAATATCAGGAGTGCCTTGAGAAGTTACTTGAGCAGAAGAAGTGTTGATAAAAAGCAAGGCATTACATTTGTGAGCAAGTCAGTGGACGGAAGTGTTCCACCTATAGAGCACGATTCCATGGAACTTCTAGTAGAGGGAGATGGAGATACTGAGGAGCTACAAGATTCAAAGGAAGGCGCTGAAGAGCAACGGAGCTACAAGGAGATCATACGGGATCTAGAACTAAAGATCGAGCAATACAAAAGATTCTGTGAGGCCCCTTGTAGGAACTGTAAATCCCTTGAACTGAAATATAGATTTCAGAGTGAGGCTTTAAAGAAAAAAAATATGGTTGAGTTAGAACTTGAGAAATATAAGGCAAAAGTTGAGGATCTTGAAAGGCTGCTTTCAGAAAGAGAGGAGGATGATGATTCACAAATGAGTGTATCATTTACTAATTCCTATAATGTGTTCAGTTGCCTCGTACAATTATATTTGGAATTTGTCCCTACATTTTCCAATGAAGAAGTACCCAAGCCTGAAGCTTTAAGCCTCGCACATTCTGCACTTTATGCTGTGAATAAGCTTGGGAAGGATGTAGTAGAAAGCTCTGTGTGTATTATGAACGAAATTAGCCTCAAGTTGCACATGTTCGAAAGGAACATACATAAAGTTTCCTTCATCCTATCTAACCTCATTGAATACGAAAGTATCCTTCGTGGGCATGGAATTAATAATGTAAGCGAGATCAAAAATCTCATATCCATTTTATTCAAGCATCTTTGCGAGCTTCAAAGAAGCTCTCTTCTTGAGGTTCTACCGCACGCTGTCTTAGAACATCAGCAACTATCAAAATTCAAATGCAAAGAAGGATACTTCAAGAAAATATTCAAACCTCCTCATATTTCTAAGCTTATACGTCTTTTGGAGTATTTTTATCACCAGATGTCCTATTATTATATTCCAGACATATATATCATGGAATCTGTCAATTATCTCTTGAAAACCATCAATGTTTCTGTCTTCAATGAAATTTTGGTAAAAAAAAATTTCCTTTCCTTCAACCGAGGAGTTCAGATAAACTACAATGTAAATGAGATAGATAAGTTCTGTAGAAGTATAAACTACTTAGAGGGGATGTTTAATCTATCCCATACTACATCAATAATAAGGCTCATCAATCTTGTTGAATCTCGAGCAACAGCAGACTTGATTTTGGACGAATGCTCTATTTTGAATTGTGTTCAGATAAATGAAATTGTATCGAAGCTCGATGCCGAAGCTTCATACTTTTTTGGTAATGATAATAGAAATGAGAAGTTTATTTCAGATCCAACTGTAACCTTACCTTCATATACAGGTGTATCTTCACATTCTTTTATATGTCCCAGGTACTTGCCTTCAGAAAGCCTCCTATCCATTCTGAAGTCAATAAGATGAGTAATGTATAAATCTTCCTTCTTAATCATGCCTCTTCGACTTTCGCTTTTCATCCGGAGCAAATGTATTCTCCCGAGCGTAGAACTTCCGAAGTATTTCAAAACATCGGTTATCTGGCAGATATACGCTTTTTATTCCAATGCCGCATATTGTTTCACTTCCAAAGATTTCATTTTTACATCCATAGTACACCTCGACATTTTCCAACCTTCCAAGTATTCCCATGCACATAATACATGGCTCGCAAGTTACATAGAATATGCTGTTTGAGCAGTCCACATTCCTAACAGAGATTATTTCAGCGTGTTCAAGCGGTGATTTATTGGCGTTTGTCATGTTATGAGACATGGACACTATAGTCCCATTTTTGACAACGACGCATCCTACAGGAACCTCTAGCCTATCAAATGCTTTTGCTGCTTCAGCGAAAGCTATATCCATAAAGAAACTATGTGGCATAGAATAAGCAGTTATGACTAGACCCATTGAAAAGCTTTTCAATAATATGCGGATCTGTAATAAACTTCAAAATTCTTTATATGTTTATTTGAAAATGGGCCCCAAAATGGATTGTTTGCGAAAACAAGCCGAGAGGATTCCTATTCTGGATGCGATTGAGAAGCGAATGAATATCAGGAAGGAATATGCTCTACTTGGAATAAGCTTCCTCTGTTTGGTAATTATCATGGCAACATCTCTTGGTCCTCTAGTAACATCTACCATTGGAATAATCGTCCCACTTCAGGAAACCTTTGTTATATTGAGACAGGTCAACCCAAAAAAGGAAGAGACAAAGCATATGCTAGTGTTTTGGATGATTTTTGGGGTTCTGACATCCCTAGATGCATACTATAACACCATCATCGGCTTTATTCCTCTATGGTACACCATAAAGTTTTTTTTCCTCCTATGGGCAGGTCCCCTCAAATTTAGAGGAGGAATAATCATCTATGACAACATACTGACTCGCATTCCAGAGAGCTGGTACAGGGAGGAAGGTGGAATTGAAAATGCCGTGAAAAAGGCTACCGATGCTGTAAAAAGTGTTGCAGAAAATGAGTTCAACAAAAAGGATGTAATTGAAAACAGCAAAAAGACCGATTAAAATGTTTTGATCAAGCTTTCTCAAATTAGTCTAGTAATTTTCCTTGAAACAAGTTTCTGGTTGAAAGTGTGTCAGGTATATTTATTCCAAAGGAGTTTTTCCAAGAATTATGATTATTAGCTGGACTGATGCATTTAAAGTTCTAAGAGACACAAAGGTGAAGGAACGGCTGTTGAGGAATAATTTGACTTTTGAATATCTTGCCAGACAGTTGAGCACGATGAACTGTTCTCTGTGTTATAAACCGATAAGTATTAAGGGTTTACTGTGCGAAGGATGTTTTTATAAGCTTCATCCTCCTTCGATAGATTTTAAGACTTCTATTGCCGTTAAGTATGCGCTGGAGTTACAAAGAATAAGAATAAATAGAACCAGCTCACTAAAGCCTTCTACTAAAGATGAATCCGTGAGTTTTAAGCTTCTTGATATCTCCAATGATTCTTCTCTAAGAGACTTATCCGGAAAGGTTTATTCTCTAGAATCTGCATCGTTGAGCTATGAAGAAAGGATTATACTCAGCAGTATAAAGCTAAAGATACAAATGGAGACAACGAATAAATGGGCTGCTATAAGGATAAAGTCAATGATAGACCTCATCGATGAACAGCTGAATATCTTAAGGCTAAAATACTTGATATGCTTAAGAAATCTTAGGCTTGATGACGTCCTTTTATTGAAGAAGCATATAATAGAAATTAGAAAGCATAGAGACAGTTTGTTCGAGATGCTAGGAAATAAATTAATTATATAAATTTAGCGGAAAGACTTACGACCTCTTTTCCATACTCGAGAGATTTCTAACAATTTCGAGGCCTTCTAATGCCTCTAAACTTTCTACTCTCTTGGGAACTTCAACGTCAAATCCTAGATAAATCTTTTGAAACCCTATTATTTTCCATAAGTAAACCTGTGCATATCCATCCCAGTCAGATGAATCTTCTATAATCCTGTCGTACATTTCCTTTGGAACTATAGGCGTTCCCCATTTTTCCATTTCCTTGACCAGGCCAAAGTATTTCTGAAAGTTAAGGCTATGAATCATCCTAGTCACATCTTCTACTGTATGTTCTTGCTTTTTCTTAGTGCTTTTTATTGCTAGCTTCAATGCTCCCCATTCTTCTTGTAGGGAATCCAGTTTTGCTGCAATTCTGTTGCTATTTCCTCTAAGATATTCTATCAGATTTCCATTCAATCTTTCCTTCTGATTCCAAAAAAGCATGTCGTATATCAGTGCAAGATATGACGATGGATATTTATCCAAAAGCGAGTTGGCAAGCCTTCCAATGTTTTGTGGGTACGGAATGTTTACCATAAACCTCAAAACTCTGCAAGCATCATCTTCACTTCTTATATAATTTTTGAAGAGGAGGCTCAGATGGAACTCGAAGTTTTGATCATGTTCTAAGATAAACATAATGTTCATCTCCAGGTCCGCAGAAAGCTGTGAGGATAGGATGTTTAAGGGTGTGGGCGTAAACAATGTTGAAAGAAGCTGTCTAGAGGAAAAATAGGGCGTAAATGGAAAGACAGGATACTCAGGGTTTTTATCTCTGAGCTCCTTCTTTGCCCTCTTTTTCTTGTATTCATCGAAGTGAGGATTTGTAACCATCTCCTTTACAGTCGTGAATAAAAAATCCCGTGTGGTGAAGTTTGAATCTTCAAAAACGTCTCTTTTTGAATTACTTTGTGCACAGAAAAACACCAAAAACATTAAGCTGTTTGGATGATTACTGAAGTATTTTGGATTATCTTTGTACATCGAATACACCTCCTCAACCAGGTGGTGCCGCAAAAGATTTATGATTAGTGTGTCTATATTTTCCTCATAGCCCAGCATCATTTGGACTACAAGAAGTATGTTTTCATAGGCTTCCTTAGTCAATCTATCAAACTTGAACTTAATGAGGTGTTTAAGACCATTCACAACATCCTGTAATGTGTAGTTAGAAAGAAGACTCTCTAATACTTGTAGAGATGGATCATGTAGTAAAATATAAAAAAGCGAGTAGAACCCAGTTTTAGTATTTGCCTCTTTGGACATCCTCACCTTTCTACAGAAATCGTCTTCATCAATCAGCTCTTTCAGCATTAGGGCCCAAGCGTTTTTGTGAAAAAACACCATCAAATGTTTATTAATCATTCACATTTCGATATCGACGCTATAATAAATTCCATCGTATACTCTGTGTACCGTTATTTTGCTAAAATCCATGAATACATCAATTGCCTCAGAATTGAATACCAAAGACACAAGCACATCCTTGTCTACAGAAAGATGGAAAAGAAACCTCGAAAGCCTTCTTATTTCTCTCACTTGGCCCCTGTTTATAGAGAGAGGTTTACTTAAGCATTGTATCGACAGGAGCGTCTCTGACGGGTTATGCGTATTGGATCTCAATCTTTTTGCCAAGTCAAGTGGAGAAATAAACTCCTCGTTTGCTCCCATCTAAGCAAGGGAGGGTTTTTGAGAGAAAGATAAGTTCCAAACAGTATTTCCTCGTTTCATCTTTCACTCGTATCCTCTTCAAGAAACTTATAAGCTTCTACCATACCAATCTCTTTGACAGTGCTTCTCTTTTCCTGGAAATCGACATTAATATACTTGTCTCCGCAATTTAGTAACTCCTTTCTAAAAGTTGTTATTATAAACTGGTTTGCACAGGTCATACTCATTTCTTTTATCAATGCAGAAACTCTTTCTCTACTTTGGGTGTCTAAGTTAGCATCAATCTCATCAAATACATATAACGGCGATGGATTTACTCTTTGCATACTGAATATCAGGCACAATGCTACTAAAGCCTTCTGCCCTCCGCTGAGTAGGTTTGTATTAGTAATATCTTCTCCCAATTTAATACCCACAGAAAACTCGTACGAATAAAGCTCTGCTGTGCCCCCATTTGTAAGTCTTGAATAGAACTCAGAAAACCCTTCTCTTACTACTTCTATGGCTTTTCTCATTGTATCTTCCTTTCTAGAGTCTAGATCCCTCATAAAATTAAGTATACACTCCTTATCATACTTGAGATCCTCCAATTTCTTTCTCATAGAGTTCTTTTGTTCTATATAGCTTTCCCACTGAGATATCACGGTTCGGTTAACCACAGAAAGCCCTCGGATTCTTTCATTGATTCTGACTATCTCTTCCATTATCTCTTCTTTCTTTTTCTCAGGAAATAGCCTTTCTAAACTTTTGAAATCAGAAGCACCTATTCTTTCACATAATTCATTTCTTTTGTTTATCAGCATGTGCTTTCTTCTTACCAGTTTTTCCATTTCAACGTTTACCTTCTTAGGCCTCGTAAATAGATCCATGTTCTCCTCATTAAACATCATTTCCTTAATAATCCTTCTTCTGTCCTTTAGCTCTAAAATCTCTTTATCGATCTCAATAGCTTCTTTATACATTCTCGATTTTTCCAGTTCTTCTTCAAGGCGCCCTATAGTGTCGCTCATCTTCTTGATCTCAATACCGGCTTCCTTTATTCTTGCATCAATTTTCTTGATTTCTCCACTAATCCATATGTTTTTGAGCAGTAAATCCCTCTCTTCTTCTTTTAATCTCAGAAGCCTGCTATTAACCTTGCTCCTGTCAAGACCATCTCTGTTAACCCTCTCTAATATTTTTATCTTTTCTTGAAGAAACAAAATAGCAGACTTCAAGCTTTCATAATACCTGGAACCACCTCCAGAGTCTTCTTTATGCATCCTTGCTTCTTCAATCTCCCTGTTTATCTTTTTAAGATCATGCTGTATCCTAACCATCTCCCCTCTTACTTTTCTTGCTTCCTTGCAAATCTTTTTATATTCCTGAAAAGCTGTGTTTCTTCTTTCATATCCTCCAGTAATTGGCCCTTCCTTGGTTACCACCTCTCCAAAAAGTGTGACAACGTTAATTCCATATCTTTTGGATGAATAGAGTGCCTGCTTCAAATCCGAACAAAGATAAAAGTTCTTTGTAATGCATCTAAGAAGATCCCTGTATTGCTGACTGCATTTCACCTGTGACGCCAACAAGATAACATTCTGATCTTTTATCTCCTCTTCCTCCTTGTGTTTGATTCTGTTGAGCGGCATGAAAGCTACTCTGGACTTCAAATCTCTCATCTTTTTTAATACATTCGATGCCACCTCTTCATTCTCAACAACTATGTTGAATAAGGCATTTCCCACGGCAGCTTCAAAGGCATTAGATAATTCATTAGGCACACTTATTAAATCATACACATATCCTAACACTCCTTCTTCACATTTGATTTGCCTATATACATCTAAACCAATATTCCCCATGGCAACCAACCTATTCTCCTGGGACCTAACAATTTCTCTTATCGACTCATCAGAAAGTTTTAGTTTTCTTTCTTCCCTCCACAGATGCTTTCTTTTTTCAATCAATTCTTCAAGATCTTTCTTTTCTTTACCCTCCTCTATATGGCTGCCCTCACAACTATCAATGGCTTTAAACTTTTTGATCTTTTCTTTCAAAGACTCCCTGGCTGCTTCTATTTCCTCAGGTTTCACTTCTCTGCTACCCAAAGTTTCCAGAAATCCCACTAGATATTTTATGCACCCAGACCTTATAAAATTTTCCTTCTCATCTCTTTTAAGATTCATTAAATTCTTCTTTTCGGCCTTTTCAATCTCCCAGAATCTGCTTCTTTTCTTTTCAATCTTTCTTATCTCCTCTTCAATCCCAGTCTCTCTTTCTTTATACTTTTCGTCAATACAAAGCTCTTTTCTCCTACTAATAAGACTCGCCAGTTTACTTTCTACCTCTCTAATCTCACATCCATAATCTCCGTTTTCCTCAGAACTTTCTTCTGGATCATTAGATACAAGACTCTCAATATTGGAAATATCTTCATTGATTTCTTTAACCTCTCTCTCGATATATCCATATTCAAGTCTCTTCTTCTCTTTTTCTAACTCTAAGCGTAGCTCCATCTCCTTCTTATCATCCTCAAACCCCCTTAGCTTTTCTTCAATCCTATCCAGTAATAGTTCAATCTTGTTTTCGCTTTGCTTAGTCTCCTCAAGCATGGAGATGCTGTTCTCCCTATCTTTTTCATATCCAGACACACCTGCAACATCTTTCATCAGCTCATATCTTTTTCTGTCGCTAAGAACTGCAAGCTCAGATACTTCTTCCTGTAAGACAACAAAATATGGATTGCTTGTTGTAATCTCACGACTTTGAAGTAATCCTAAAACTTCCTCTCTGGACATAATCTTCTCGTCTACCATATATTCATCTCTCTTGATTCCCACAACTCTTTTCACACTAAGTTCCTTTTCCTCACATCCCTCTGATCCGTCATAAAATACAATTTCAACGCTTGCCTCTTCTTCACTAGCTCTGACCCCTTCATGGATAAGCTCTACTCTAGATTCACAGTTGTACTTCTCTCCATATAAAACAAAACGGATTGCAGACACAATGCTGCTTTTTCCGCTTCCATTCCTCCCGACAATGATGTTGGCACTTCTCGACAGTGGTATCAATGTCTCATCTTTAAAGCTTTTGAAATTTCTCAGCCTTATCTTCTTGACAAACATTAAACCCAAGGGGATCGTTTCTAATAATCTAAACGGATTTCATCGTCTCAAAACCAAAAGAAGATTTCTCTCTACAATTTAATCTCTGCAGCAATCTATTTATATTTTCCTTCTTCTAATTTTGCTTTAAGTTCTTTATTCTCCTTCTCATATCTCTCGCATTTGTCTTCGACATCGTGAAGCATTTCCTCAACCTTCTTAACATATTCCTCTTGATATTCTTTAAGGTCTGACTCCAAGGACGAACACGCCTTCATAAGATTGATCTTCTGTGCATAGAGCTCATTCCTCTCCTCTTGAAGAGAATTAAGTCTCTCACTGGCCTCTATTTTCATCATTTCCTGGGCCTTTATAGCTTCGTTTTGAACAACTAGGAAGTCAAAATATGTCTCTTCTCTCCTGTCTACTCCTACTGGAGTCTCTAATCTTTCACTATCAAAGACGTCTCCCAGCTTCTCTAGGTTAGACCTTATTGACATAAACTTAATCCATTCCCTTAGATCATTGCCCCCAGTTTGCTTGTAAAGAAATTCAGGGACAGATTCTATGTTCGATCCTTCGTAGCAAAGTAAAAGATCAACCATCTGATCAAATACCAAGGGATAGTCGCATATGAAAGTTTTCCAAAACGCAGAATGCGTGTTGTCTTCTTTATCTTCATTCACCTTGCTATCCGGCTTTATTCCCTGATCTCTTGAGAATACACTACAAAAGTTATGAGATTCCATTAATGAATGAATAAAGCGATATACAGCCTGCGGTGAGGCATATGGTAACTCTAGGATGTGCATTATGAACAATGCAAGCAGTTTAAGATTGTATACCATGGGGAAATCTCTTTCTAAGTTTTTCAGAATGTTGAATATGTTTTCCTGATTGTTACCCTCTATATCTCTGTATAGATCTAATATGAACTTTACTAGGTCCTTATCTTCGATTTTTCCATTCTCACCTACCTGATGCCTGGGGTTCTGGCCCTTATTGGCATTACGAAGTCCTATAGGCTTTAGTTCTATACATTTCTCTCTTGATCCTATGCATTTTGCCCATATTGAGAATCTTAGATCTCGGCTCATTGTGTGTATCCTCTTTCTTATTTCTTTTCTATTAGGCTCTTTTTCCGAAAGAAAATAAGCCCAGAATTCAAACTCGGCAAACACCTTTGAGGTGCACGTGGTATTACAATGTTTTCTATTACATATCGGCTTCTTGTATGTCTTTGAGGGAAAAAATGCTTCGTCAGCATACCTTGGGGTACTAGACCCAAGAATCAGGCTGTCCAAGAATTCCATTCAGGTTACTTCTTTGAAAATCTATTGATATATTATTTTATTTCCACAAAAAGGAGCTATTTATCCAAGAATTACTTCTATTGGCCGGTGCATACTCAGAGAGAACTATAGATATAATTGGCCTTCAAGGAACAAATAAATGATATCAATGATAGGTATGTAATGCATTATTTATTTCAAAAATTCTCTCCCTCAAATATGTTTCCATGAATAACCATCTTCTGTATCTCATCCTTCCTATTAGCACTTTCCAGAACTTTTTCCTCAACCGTCCCTCTTGTGATGAGTCTGTACACAGTTACATCTCTTGTCTGTCCCAGTCTATGTGCTCTGTCCATTGCCTGCTGATCTGCTGTAGGATTCCAATCACTGTCATAGAAGATAACCGTGTCTGCCGCAGTTAAGTTTATCCCTAGCCCTCCAGCACGTGTGCTCAATAAGAAAATAAACTTGTCGCCTGTCTGCCAATCCTTAATAACCTCTGCTCGAACAGATGCCTTCAAGCTTCCGTCAAGCCTCAAATAGGTATACCCTTTTCTCACAAGATAATCTTCTATGAGATCTATCATTCTTGTCATCTGAAAGTAAATTAGTAATCTATGCCCTTCTACCCTGAGCCTTGGGAGTAACTCGTCTAGAACAACCATTTTCCCACTGTCCCCTATAAAGGTATTTAGCGGAGGGACATAAATAGTTGTACTGAGCGGAATATACACATTCTCCAGATCTATTCCCGGAAGCTCAACTTCATTTGAAATTAATCTAGGGGCAGTTGCTACAACTGGGCTTATACAGCAAGCATATTTCCTTAAACACCAGATCTCTTCGGCTATTGACATTCTTAATCTCTTTATCAAGTCATTATGACCTAGATTCTCTCTGTTCTTCAAAATGATTCTACCAACCTCCTCAACACTTCTAAAGATGTGGCCTCCATACTTGAAGTCTAAACTTCCCCTTAGATACCATCCCAAAAATCCATTCTCACAGGTAACTTCTCGTAGATAATTGATCCTTTCCATTAACTCGCACTCTTTTCTACGGAATACTTCAAATGCATCTCTTGCAACAAGACTAGGAATCTTAATATCCATTTTGCTCCTTCCAAACCAAACCCCATCCCCCATCCCATCATTAACTTCAAGGCTCAATCCGCAAGTAGGCTCCAATTTCTTGAACAGGTCAGGGTGATTGCAAACTTTCTTCAGCTGCATAAGTAGGTTCTCCATCTCCATACTTGAACAAGATCTTGTAATCTCTTTATATAAAACCTTTTGCCGATAGCTCAAACTGCAATATAAATCGATTTGTGTCTTTTGCCCCAATTCATGAATAACATCAGATTTATGTCTTCGAAGCATAAAAGGCTTCAGGATTGTATGAAGTCTTTGCAGGGACTTTTCATCAACTGTTTTCTTCATTGTTGCTGATGTTTCTATTTCCTTGCTAAACCAATCACTAAACTCACTGAGGGAATCAAATAAAGTAGGCATTATGAAGTGAAGAAGAGCCCACAGCTCTTGCATAGAGTTTTGTATTGGTGTTCCTGTTAGAAGAAGCCTATTTCTTGCCTTGAAGCTCAAAAGAGTCTTCCATCTTCGTGACATACTGCTCTTGATTGCCTGCGCTTCATCAAGAATCATGTATTGCCATTTTATTTTTTTTAGCATCTTTTCATCGCTAACGGCTGTCTGATATGTAGTGATAACAACATCTGAATCCTTGAAACGCTTTTTCAGCTCTTTTCTTTCACTTGGAGACCCAGAAAACCGACAAACTTTGAAGCTAGGGAGAAACCTTGAAAATTCCTGAGCCCAGTTATCAAGCGTTGATGAAATAGTAACTACAAGAAATGGCCCAGGAATCTCTTCCGTCTCGTAAAGATAAGCCAATAGAGAAATCGATTGAACAGTTTTACCCAATCCCATGTCATCTGCAAGGATTCCATTAATTCCCTTGTCGTACAAACTTACAAGCCAGTTCAACCCCTTAATCTGATACTCTTTTAAAGTACACTTTAGAATCTTTGGCTGTGATACATATCGGATTGCTGCTTCTCCACTCTCCCCTCCATATTTAAACTTCTTTTCTGGTCTGGCCAACCCAAACTCCTTCAGCTTTTCCTTTTGAAGCATAGCAGCTTCATACCCCTTCATCTTATCATATTCTTCAATCTCCCCCTCCTCTAGTTCCTTAACCACTGGGAGATGACTGCATTTATTTTTTTTCAGTATGAAATGAGAGAAGAGCTCTGTTTGGCTTAAAAGATATTCAAACTTTCTCTTCTGCCTTAATTCTTCCTTTTCCTCCATTTCTTTCTTCTTTCTTTCCATTTCCTCCTTCTCCGCCTTTTTGGATCTATCCTTTATGCTTCTTTCAGCTTTCTTGATGTGTCCAAACAGCTCTCTATAAATCCTTTTTGACTTTAGTATAGGATTGGTCCTGGATGTCTTTGAAAGTCCTCTCCTCAGCTCTCTAGCGCATATTATGCTGATCTTTCTACAAAATGCTATGCGGGCAGATTCATAACTCGTAATTGCCGAATGAACCTTTCTAATATTCTTCATGGCCGACATCCATTCCAAGGTTCTTTCAGAATCTGTATCCCCTTCATTATGACGGCTTCTGATCTCACTCACAATCTGGTTAATCTTCTCTTTCGCTAAAAGGCGGAGATGCTTTACTTCTGGATAGCCGAGCAAAGATGAGGGAATGTCCATAACATATTTGAAGACATGACTTGCCCCATTCGTTATTCTGGCCATGTCCAGGGCTTCTCCGTGTCTTTTATAGACTCTCCTGATGTCCTCTAGATCTTCCTCTCTCATTTTAAGGGCTTTACCAACAACATCTTCATTTACTCAGTGCTTATGGCCCTTATTCTCTTCACCCTTAGGGCCCTTAAGACTAGATCCGCTTGTGAAACAAAAGAATTAAAAACAACAAGGTAGTGAAAGAAATAAACAAAGATGATGATAATGGTTTTGCTTCAACTATGTGTGTCTAAGATAGTTGTTGTTGATGATCTTGGTGTCACTGACAGGCAGAACCATGATCCGGATATGGCTAGAAAAGTTATGAACGTTCTCGGAGGAGCCATAAAAAACAGTAAAGACACAGTACTGCTTTCTAACAGTAAAGGAACAAAAAGAATAGTTGAAGATGATGAAAAAAGGCCTTCCAAATACAGCGGATCAAATCACGACGAGCTCAAGTCATTTAGCAAGGAGAAAAATGATGAAAGTAAAAAAGACGAGAATGGAGGCCATTCAATGTCAGGTCCTTCTAAGCCGGAGTACACTGGAAGGCCAGGACAAAATCTGAAAGATGAGAATGTGATACCAGAAATTGGGAGAAGCTATCAAGAGGATTCACTACTGAACCCATTGCATATTAGAAGCTTGTTCAATGGGAATAACCTAGAGGCGCTTGGTAAGAATATGTATGAAGGATCTAATATGCAAAACTATGAGCCAAAGGATATTTTGATGGGATATAGATCTGACCAAAACAAATATACCCCATTCTCATTTGGAGGTGGAGACTCTTTTGCAGATGTTCCTAGATACGGTGGGACATCACTAGAAGATGGGATGGGGTTTGGAATGGTTGGAAACAATGGGCCATCAGATGAGATAAGAGCAAGAAGATCGTTTATAATCTTAAAAATGGCTCAGAGTAAACAGAAAGAAAGTATGCTACAAAGTAAAATTGACAAGCTACTCCAGGACATAGATCAAATTGCTGAGAAAATCCAGGACACACAAAAAATGAAGGATGGCATGACGTCAAGATTACATACAAAGAAAAACCATCTAAGAAACCTACAAGCTAATATAAAGGAAGTTGAGGTTCAAAGAGGAAGAACCTTGGCTCTAATAAGGTTATCTAGAAATGAACTTTTAAAACTTTCGAAGATGATGGATGATCAAAGGTCCAAGTTGGCACTTCTTGAGGATGAGGAAAAGATATTTTCGGACAGAATAAAGAAATATGATGAAGAGTATGACATAGGTAACCGGGAGCTTCAATTAGACGAAACTCGATCTCAGGAGATAAAGAGAAATATAGAAGAATTGGAAAGGTTGTATAATGTTCTGAAAATAAGGAATAATGAGCTTCTGAACGAGAGAAATAAAGAAAGCGCTATCCGAAACAGACTAGAGCTTGAGACGGAAAGGCTTGACAGAAACACCATAGATTTTATTTAAGTATGGTTAGAGATGTTCTATGGCAAATCTGCTCTTTCATAATTAATTATTGTGATTTTGAGCCATTAAAAGTTTTTTACGGAATCCATTGATTATTTGATGCTCAAAGGCCTAAAAATAAGATCTCTAGTGTGTATAGTGGAAATCATTGAAGGCATAATTAACAATATACACATTATAAAGATTGCCTTGTTTATGATGAGGATTCTTAAGGGAGCTTACATATTGATATGGAAAATTTTGTGTATGTGGAATGGCAGACCTTACAACTATTCAACAGAAAGTAATCGAAGAAGCAGACTCACCATCTTCAAGAATATGAACGTTGCATTCATCTGTGATGGAAATAGAAGATATATGAAGAAGCTCGGGTTAGAGGATAGATTTACGAAAGATGAGGGCCTCCAGAAGGTATATGAATTCATCAATTTTGGATATTTCTATGGCTTTGAAGAAATTTCTTTTTTCTGCTTTGCACTGAACAACCTTAAGAGAACTCCTGATGAAGTGAATGGAATGATGGAAGTTGTTAAAAAAAAGGTAAAAGAGCCCAAGGAAGTGGGCATCAGGCCAAGATTCCGGATCTATGGAAGATTGGATCTCCTTGAGGAGGATGTTAGAAATAGGCTCATGGATATAGAGAGAGAATCTAGAAATAATACAGACATAATTGTAAATATCTTCTTTGCATATTCTTCAGAAGATGAAATCAGTAGGGGAATCCAGTTTAATAGTCGCGTCGATATACTCATAAGAACGGGAGATACAAAAAGGTTAAGCAACTTCATGATTCGCCAGGTTGCAAAGGGTACATCGGTGTTTTTTGCAAAGCCTCTATGGCCTGAGCTGACAACCGCACATCTCTTCCTAATACTTTTAAAGCACAGGCTAGAAGATAGATATTTATTGAATTGACATATTCCATCCTCGACAATCTCTTAGCCATTAACACCATTTACTCAGGTCTGGTTTTTCGATGACCGGCCTATACGGGTCATAGAGATAACTTTTTTCTGTTTTGAATATGTTATCCACCTCCGCCTTAATAGTACTTGCTACCACATTAAATGAGGTATTATGTGCAGTAGTGCATTCTTTCATTTTAAATTTCTCAAACACTTTCAAGAGATCCTCTGTACTATCCCTCCACTTTATAAGACTTAATCCAATGTCTCTGATCTTACTAAGAACAAATTCCTTCTCATACTTCCCTCCCGGTCTCTTTTTGACCTTTGTGCTTCTACTTTCTCTCATGTTTTCTGTGTAGCTGAATGATGTATCACTCATCCAATCATCTTCTCTTTCTTCAAGAGCTTCTAGCCTGCCTCTATATTTCCCGAAGGATCTTCTTATGTCATCAAGAGATAGAAGCTTTTCCCTTAGAATATCACGTGCCTCCCTTATAAGTAACTCGTCGTCAGAGCATAATCTAAGGGCATCTCCCATGCTTTTAGCCTTCACATACTCACCAAAGGCCCTTTCAGGCTCCCCTAAAAACTCCTCAAACAATTGTCCTGCTTCATAGTGCTTTTCAGATTCAACAAGCTTATGGGCTAACAACTCGCAAAACCCCCTTCGATTCTCTTTATCATAAAGGTTCAGAGCTTCTCTCCAATACAGATTTTCTACAGCCACTTCCAATGCCCTCTCTACGTTCCCTGCTTTTTTAAAAAGAGCTAATGCCTTATCAGAAGGAAGGAGTTCTGCACATAGATTGAAGTAGTATCCTTCTTCTCTGGTACTCAACCCGCATGTTTCATACATTAGTGCTTCATCAATAAGACCATGCTTCTTGATATACTCTCTTTCGAGATCAATCATCTCCGTTCTACTTAGATGCCAAAGCGCATTAATTCTATTCTCAAGGAAATCATTAATCTTAAACTTCCGCAGATCTTCCGGGCAACTGTGAATTAAAGAAAGAAAGTCCGACGAATCTTTCTGGCAGACCTTCATCACCTCATATACTAAACCTTCATCACAGCTTTCCAACACAGAATTTATAATATTGTTTGTACTAGTTATAGACAGCATATACTCGACTCCTGCTTTTAGGTCATGCTTGGCCATCAGAAGTGCTAGATCGATTCTATTTACTTTCACCAACAAGAAAATAATAAACTTGAAATTCCTTTCTGGGCTTAGAGACAAGAGCAGTTCATTGAAGAAGTCCTTAGGTCTACGCCCACATATCGTTATCTTGCAGCTCTTTGTTGGAGTTTTTCGATTCCTATTGTTACAGGTTTCTTGATAATGAAGGTCTCTTTTACTTTTCCATCCAACTAGATGTGCAAGAGAGCTTGTCCCTATTGACTCGTCATTCTTCACCGTTTCGATAAAATAATCTCTAGCATTTTCAGATTCCAGAGCTATAGTGGAATTGAAAATCTTTCTGAATCTTTTGACCTCCTCACTTTCAAGAATGAAATCAAACCCACCAAGTCTTTCAAGAGCTTCGTTGAAAAACGATATGAGATGCATATCCTTACACACAGCTATAAACCTCTGAAATTCAATATCATAATCCAAAAATACTCCAAAGGGGATAATATGTCTTTGGCACCTGTCTATAGCATCCTTGTATTTTCCATCAAACAGAAGCTTTTTTACAAATGCTAATGTATAAATCCTAGGGGTGTATGTTTCAAGCGTCCCGTGTCTGGTTATGCCAATTACTCTGAAGCCTACAGCACATAGAAGCTGCAGATTATGATCAACTTGGCAAATACTTTGCTTGGATCCAAACAAAAATTTACATACCCCCTCAGATACGGTAACCACTCCGAATTCCCCGACCAGGAACGAAGCTATGTTCTCTGTAACATTACCATTCACGAAAAGCTTTGCTCCGTTATGAACATAAATATCCTCTTCTATAATTACTTCAAACCTTTGGGACAGATCAATCTCAGAATATACCTTAATGCCATCATAGATAACAGACCCATTTTCTAACACTAGGCATAACTTCCCTTTGAAGTTATAGCATTTTATAATATCTTCCGGACCCTTGAGTGCATCGTGTAACCGACTGGAAATTCTATTAATACCTTCCGCCCCTATAGCGTCCTCCTCTTCTCCTTCATCTCCCTTTAAATCTCTGCTTATATGTATTTCTCTTTCTCCACTCACTTCCTTAATTAAAAACGAGCTTCTGTTCTTTAGCAGAAGAAAGCTATCAAATAGCACAACAGAATCAAATTCTTCTCTCAAAAGGAATGTTTTCTCACGAAAAAATTCATCCTTCTGCCACCTGAAAATAACCGCCTTGTCCTTCTGGAGAATTACACCTTTCTTTTTTCTGGGAAAGACGTCAATAATATTTCCATCGAGTTCAATTCTCGTAGAAAAGAAGGGTGGAGGAATGATCTTTTCCGAAAAGTCTGTGTAAAGTATGCAATTGCCATCAATTACATAATATTCAGGCCCATAACGTGTCCTTTCTTCAAATAGAAAGACCCTCACCAATCTCTCTCCATCATTAAATACCACCGTGTTCTTCTCAGTACATAAAAACTTACCAGGAACCTGCTTTGAAGTCTTCAAATACCAATGAAAGTTCTTTGTGTAAAAAACCTTAAGTAGAGAGCCCCCGTCATTCTTTTCAGTTGTAATTAGTACATCTTCGTTTTCAAGAAAGGATAGTGTGCTGCATTGTACATCTAATGGATTTCCATGCTCAAGCCCATTGGGTTCAACAAAAAGAATGCCTGTGCTTGTTGTGCATCCAAATATATTATACTTGCCTCTCCAAGAAACGTCTATATATTTTCCTTCTTTGCTCTTTCCCACTAAATTGAGTTCAGTATCGTAAAATAATATCATACTATTGGTTAGTACTGCAAAAAGCCCATAATCAGCCCATTCAACTCGGATAACATTATCAACCTCGATACCAATCGATTTCTTGAGGTCGATGTACGTGTCAAAAAGAAGAATTTCTGTGGTAGAGATGATAACGCACCAGCTTTCATCTCTAGATATGCTAACCGAAACCACTCCATCCTTCACCCTCCCAATCTCAGATATTTCTGCCGTGTTCTTGTTAATCAGATATATTGTGTCTAGATCGTCAATCAAGAAATATTCAAATGTTAAAGCATGGAAATGCCTTGGAATAAATGGGATCTCGGATACTTTTATCCCAGTGTCATCGTAAATGGATAAACCCTTCACAATATATCCTTTGCTGTATATCCAGTTACCTTTGCCTATCTCGGTTATGCTTACATGCCGAGGGAAAAAATTTTCCATTCCTTATGGGGAATCATATCACCCAAAAATGTCTACTTCCCAATCATTCGGGAGCATTCCAAGAGAAGAGCGTAGCTACAAGTCCATATATGATGGCATAGACCTATTGAGAATGCACCATATAGTTGCAGATGGCATTCATCCACCCGAAGAGAAATTAAAAAAGAAACAAACAATCCAAGAAGAACAAGGGAAAGACTTCTTTGAATCCATTTTATATAAGGTAGATAGCTATGATCGCCATTATTTGCATGGATCGCACCCGAATGTTTCTGAAAATGTCTTTGAATTGATTATGGACAGGTTAGAAAAAGAATGGTTCTTTTTTGTACAAGGATTGGTAACAAGGTATGTCAAGCCACTGAGACCCTCGTCTTTCTGTGATATCTGCACAAAGTACACATCTGAGAATGATAAGGCTCTTGTAGTGTGCCAAGGATGCGAGATATGTGTGCATGAAAATTGCTATGGAATCCAGGATTTAAGTGACTTCTGGCTCTGTAGAAGATGTATATACAGAGAAGATTCAAAGGAATGCTCGTTTTGTATCTCCACCAATGGTGTCTTCAAACAGACATCGGACAACAAGTGGGGGCATGTTTTGTGTGTTATGTTTAACAGGTCCCTTTCATTTGGACACCCATTGTCAAAGGAGCCCATTGATGTTGGCTCATACACAAAAGAGTCTGGATGTTTATTCTGTGATGAAGTTAGAGGAACTGTGATATGTTGTTCTTATTTTGCATGTTCTAAGAAGTACCATGTCCCATGTGCTCTGGATAAATGTTACTTTGATCTGAGTAATAGGTTATCCTACTGTATTGTTCATAGTCCTTTAAAAGAAAATACATGTGAGTTAGGACACAGAAAGATAAGCGCAATGAAAAGGTTTGGGTATGAAAAGCTCTCCCATCCACCTATTATTAGAAAGAAGGTTCCTATGGCATGTCCTAAACCTACACTATTTTCAAAGCTCTCCAACTTACAGCCAATAGCTACACCATCCATTATTTGGAGGATAAAGACATATGATCTAAAGGGAAAGTACGGTAAGGACATGCTAAAAATATTAAAATATTGGGAGCTAAAGAGGAGAACGGTTGGGGAACCTTTAGTTGTTCATCCTGACATCTTGCCTGGAAGATGGGCAGAAGAATCTTGGATAAATAAAAGAAAAGAATAAAATCCTGTGTCCACGTCAAAAGTGCTGGGTGCGGGAATCGAACCCGCATCTTGGCGGCCACAACGCCATGCTCTACCACTAAGCTAACTCAGCCGATAAGCGTCCTGAATGTTGAGTTCTGCTGCTATGGTGGGTGTTCTAGAAGCAAAGTCTTTATATAGACCATTCCGGCCTGTCTTATATATGCGATATTCCTTAAAACTGTTAGAAATTCTTTTCCTCATAAAGTTGATTTGTTTGCTGACAAAATCCATGTCAATGTAATCCCTTGTAGGATGGCAGAGGGATTTTGCAAAAACTTCTACAACAACAAGTTGGATCATCTTGAAGTGCTTATAGCGAAGAAGGCAAAGGTGCTTCGGGTCTTGGAACAGAAGCGAGCAGAGCTGAACAGAAGAGTCAGGTTTCTTAGGGAGGAGATATCTATTGTACAAGAGCCTAGCTCTAATGTTGGAATAGTTGTGGAAAAAATGGGAAAGATGCAAGTCCTAGTAAAAACAAACCCAGATGGGAAGTACTTGGTAAAAGTAGAGCATGGAGTAAACTATGATGATCTCAGACCTGGTGTGAGGGTAGCTCTTCGCAGTGACTCGTATGATGTTCATAGGATACTTCCCACAAAGGTAGATCCTCTTGTATCACTTATGATGGTTGAGAAAGTTCCTGACTCCACATATCAAATGATAGGGGGGCTTGATGAGCAAATTAAGGAGATCAGAGAAGTTATTGAGCTCCCGATAAAACATCCAGAGCTATTTGAAAATCTCGGGATTGCTCAGCCCAAAGGAGTACTCTTATATGGGCCGCCTGGAACAGGTAAGACTTTATTAGCAAGAGCCGTAGCTCATCATACCCAGTGTAAGTTTATAAGGGTTTCTGGGTCTGAGTTGGTCCAGAAATATATTGGAGAAGGATCCAGACTAGTAAGAGAGCTTTTTGTTATGGCTAGGGAGCATGCGCCATCCATTATATTTATGGATGAAATTGATTCTATTGGCTCTACAAGAGGAGATTCTAATAAGGGAAGTGATAGTGAAGTCCAGAGAACTATGCTTGAGCTGCTCAACCAGCTCGATGGATTTGAATCCCACAACAACATCAAGGTCATCATGGCTACAAATAGAATTGACATTCTTGACCCTGCTTTATTAAGAACTGGTAGGATTGATAGGAAGATTGAGTTTCCTCAACCAAAAGAATCCGCAAGGCTTGAGATCTTAAAAATCCACTCTAGAAAGATGAACCTTACCAAAGGAATTGATCTTGAAATCATAGCAAGCAAAATGGTTGGATGCTCTGGAGCTGAAGTTAAAGCAGTATGTACAGAGGCTGGAATGTACGCTTTAAGGGAAAGGAGAATTCATGTAACACAGGAGGACTTTGAAATGGCTGTTCATAAGGTATTGAAAAAAGCAGGAGACCTCAACTCCGATCTTAGAAAACTCTTGAAATAAACAATGATCTTCACTTACTAGTGGTGTTTTTCTTCCACTAAGCTGTCTTCGTTCTGCCTATCCGTACTGAAGATTTACTGTAGTTCTGAGGTTCATTTGAAATCTCTTTTCTCAACTTAAGGTCAGAAATGTATGCTAAAAACGAATTTTCCCTAAGAATACAACAATATAATGGACGTGGGTCATACCCTTTAATGAAGGGCTTGGCAGACAAACTTACAATGTACAGAAGAGATATCATGAATATATGTATAAGCCTGAACCTACCCATAACGGTAAGGAGTACGTCTATACAGATGTTTGATAAAATCATTGGAAAAATGCTTAGAGATGAAAAGGAAATGAAAGATGTAGTGTATGCAATAGTGATACTTGCTTCTAAATGTGAGGAGATACATGGAAATATAGATACCCTTATAAAGAAACTTCCGGAATCTAACAAAGAAAGCATCTTGAACTACGAGTCCGATATGTTTGAGGCTTTAGACTATAATTTTCATTTCCCAAGCTTATATCTTAGAATGTATGGAATACTTGCAATACTTCAGGAGAAAGGAATTATTAGAGTTGCAGCTGAGACTGAAGGCGCTGTAAAGGTTGCCGAGGGAAGTGACGATGAAGGAGCTTTTATTTACGATGGAGAAGAATGTATCGTTCCATGCATCAATAAGCTGTGGGCATCTTCCGTGCGAAGGATGGACAAAGTACTTCTTTTAGATAAAGAATCATATAAAGAAATAGAACTGGTGTATGCAGGTCTCCACCTCCCCTATGAAATATTTAACTCACTTGATTTTCCTTTCAATCAAGATAACGTCACCAAACTCAGGAATGCTTGCGGAGCTTTCCAATTCCTAGGTTGAAATAATGACCCCACTTCCATAGAGATTGAAGTATCCTAAAACATAGGAAGCAGAGTTTTATCAAATTTAATAAATTTAACTTGTATTGTTCAGCTTCATCTTCTACTAAGAAGGACAAGTTTGTTTGCAATTTCTTCGACACTATGGGATGGAGGGATTTCCTTGCCGTTGGAGGACAAAACAAGCCCGAAATCATAGTATCTTTCCATGTAGTTAAAGAAATCTCCAATTGTTTGAGATCTTAGCATCTTCACTTTAACCCTTTTACTTCCAATCATGACTTTGAATAGCACATCCCCATCTCTGGCTATTTCTAATATGTCTTCAATATTAGTATGCGGAATGTCTCTATTAGAATTTCCTAGCTGCCTTCCTTCCCCTATAAATGCCGCCTTTGGGTCTGTCTCATGTGCCTTAGATTCCTCTTTGTATTCTTCTTCTAGTTTCTCGGTATAGGCCACCTCTGCTGTATCCCCATGCAACCCCAGTAAAGATGCATCAAATGTCCCTTTCTCCAGCATGTTCTTAAGTCTAATATTGTCATTTACTGAGAAGTCATAGAACTTATCTTCTACTAGAATACCATTTTTATATTGAGTTATAGATTTTCTCTGAGGGTTTTCTTCAACATATAGCCCGCTTTTTCCTCCAGAATACAGAACATTCCCTTTCTTCTTAGCTGTTTCTATGGCCACATCTAGGTTTCCATGGGATTCTTGGTCCGCCTTTTTTGCGGCATCGTACGAGCATCTAGCCTCCTCCATTATCTTTTTAATTCGAGCTTCCAAGTTCATTGTAGTTCAAGGGAAAAACATTTTTATCAAATAAATTTCAAGGCAATGTTTAGAATTTAGGGAACCTTGATTGGCTTTTGTAAAAACAGGGATCCAATGAGTGTTTTGTGCAAGCTGTGTGTTCTGAGAATCATGGCAAATACTTTATGTTTTCTCCCTCAATGCTTAGAAACTCTCTGCACGCAAGGCTTTCTATTCTTTCATCGAGTATTTCCAATGGATGGTTTCGTCCAAGAAGCTCTCTGAGTTCACTCTTATTTAGCACTCTGTTTGACTTCATTTCCTTTACTATTTTACAATCCAAAAGATCCTTATAAGATTCCAACCCATCTGACATCTTTGTAGCCTCAGGCTTCTCCTGCAATACAAAGGTATGAGGAATTAACGACCCCGCAGAATAGTTCTCCTCCCAAAAATTCAAGTTCAGAGAGTATATTCTCTCCTTAACCTTCACTAATCCTTTTCTCACCAGAACTTCAAGATTCCTATCCCAAGTTTTACATACCTTTAAATTATCAATGTCTCGGTCCCCTTCAGCTAGAAGTTTTATGATCAAGTATTGGACCAAAGTAACCATGACTACACGTCCTAAGAACTCAACCTCACACGACGACAGCAGGTCATTCCATTTAATTATCTTTCTTTTGTTTTTCACCATGTGCCTGTACTTTTCCTTGATCTCTTCTGCATCTCGAATCCCAAGACTAACGTCATCATACTTGGGCCATTTACATGCTCGAAGAAGCAAAATCTCATGTTCCATAAATAACTTTCTTTCAGAAAAATCCTTTATCATGCATCTCATCTTGTTCAGTCGACATTTACTCGGGTCAACTCTATCAATTAGCAGGTTCTCCCATTCTGTTGATATGGAAGATCGGGAAACAAGTCTGTTTCCTAATTTATTTTGCAATGACATTTCAAATACCTCTTTATTGTTACAAAAGTGAAAAATCTCTCCAATCATCTCAAAAATATTTGACAGAAGAAACTCTCTCCATACACCACTCTCAAGAGGAATTTCTTCCATTCCTATCTTTTTCAAAGCTTTTTTTGTGTCCATTCTAACTTCCTTTTTAGTTCCTGGGATCAGAACCGTGTGTTCCATTCCCTCAATAACATCTTCTTTGATAGCTATTCTTCCCCTTAATAGGGAATCAGTCCATGTGCAGACACTTTCCACAGCACAATCGATATTGGCGTTCACAACATCCCTCTTGGATCTTCCAATCCCCTCCTTGATTTTTTGGTATCCATCATCCTTACAGTTCTCTATTTCTCTAAACTTAAGGTAAATCCAATAGTACCCTCCGATAAAATCATCAATCGAAAGACCTTTGATAATTTTCTTGCAATACATACCGATAGCTTCTACAAGTCTTTCTTCCGAGTTTGAAGCGCAGAAAAAGCCTACAGACAGTCTCATTTCATCTTCTCTATCCATAATGCTAAAGATCTCTTCGTCTGTATAATTCGTGACTATCCTCTGTATCAAACCGGATTCAACCGTATAAAAGTAATCTTTCATATATTCAGCATTCCTATATTTATCAATAAGATCTTTTATCCCAGAAATGTCAAGACTCTCATCATTTATTCTTGAGCTGAGGGCAGAGATCAAGCATCCAACAATTCTTTCTGAAAACATGTTAAAACATCCTTTACTTTGAAGTATACAGATTATGGCAGAAATCTGCTTCTTTCTACAAAGCGATTCAAATCTATCTGGCACTTCCTTCCCCACCTCATCAGAGCCGCTTTGGCTTAATTTTTGCTTTTTGTTAACAGAGAATTCACAATTACCATGGCCAGATTCATTTGCCTTTTCCATCTTTCTTTCGCAGTCTATTTCTTCTCTTATATTATATGTTATAAACTCCAATATCTTGTCTTCAATCCCTTTCACAAATCGTGTGAATAGCCTGGAGGATAACTTATCAATAAATCCCCTCTCAACCGGTGTGATAGGGCTAAAAACCTTTCTAAAGAGATTCATGCTTCTATCCCAATGAAAATTAAACTCGTATAGATACTTCCCTATGTTTATAGTGTCCACTTCGCAAGCCTTTTCTATTGATTCGTCTACAAAGGCTCTAGACATCTTTCTGACCACCTTTAGAAGCTCTCTGCATGCATTGATCCTAGACATATAACACGAAATCTGGTAAATCTCTTCACAGGTCGATGTTGCTATACCTCTGCTCAAATATTCTTCCACAAAGTTCTTCATAGCAACAGTCGATTCCCTTAATCGTTGATTATACCCTTTCATTAAACTAAAATAAATGGGGCTAGGTAATACAAACAAATAGTAATTGCAAAGCAGTAATATTTATTCATGTGGAATTCCATAGCATTCAATAGCATTTATCGAGCACCATTCGGAGCCTACTCCCAGCATTCACTCCTTGCAATAGGTTGGAATCCTTATCAGCAAGAATATATTTTATCGACGAACCTCGTATAGAACATAGAGAAATACTATCCAGACCAGGGTGATTGCTAAGTATCTTCACCTTCAAAAGATTTAGGTTGAGGTATGGATCTATGCTATTTAGCACTCCAGATACATACACTCCCGCCTTTAGCATCACAAAAATTCGTTTTCCGATGTTGGATCTAAAAAACTCATAAAACAGCATACTCACAGCTCAAGGGTAAGTCGTTTGGAACCAAAAACAGGGTAAAAGCCAATAAAGGCCAGCAGCTGTTTTTACAAGATACTTATAAGCCTCTTCAATATATCTATTTCCAGCATTTTAGACTTGTTACCGACAAGAATAAGGTGCTTTCTAGCCCTAGTCAGAGCAACATTAAGCCTTTCGCAACTCTCCATCACCTCACATCTTGAAACAGGGTCAAAAACAACAACAACCCTGTCATCCTCACTACCTTGGAATCTGTCCACAGTCTCCACAATGCATCTAGTTTTTTCTCTTATCAGATCTACTTGTGCATTGAAATAACAAAGAATGGTACATTCTTCAAAAGAAGGCACCAATGCTATGAAATCTATCGTATCCGTATCTATAAACTCGACTGAAGATGGCCTTTTCTCACCGATAAGTTGGTCATTATAGAATAGAGTGTTTGATAATCTCATTATCTCATTTCCCATTCTGTACTGAGTTCGAAGCTTGGAGTGATCCTCCCTAAGTAGATATTCAAAAAGAGAAAGGCTTAGTTCCTTGGAGCTTCTAGAAAGAGGCTTTAATTGGAGATGATCTCCCACTATCACGAATTTTGTAGAAATGCTCACTGGGATCAATGCCAGAAGAAGGTGCATCTGGGATCCCTCATCAACAACACAAAAATCGAATCGTCTGTTTACATAGACAGGGTCTGCAAACGAGAAGCATGTTCCCACTACCAGCTCAACATTTTCAAAGAATGCTATGGCCTCTGCAGTCGTTTTGAAGAAAAAACCTTCCTTTCCAGCTGTGTATATTTTGATCCCGTCCAATTTCTTTGTAATGTTTGCCAAAGCAAGGTTTGTGTAACATATCAAAAGGACCTTTTTCTTGAGATGAACAAGGATTTTGATCAGCAAACATATAAGAGTGCTTTTCCCTGTTCCTGGCATCCCATGTATAATTCTGTAGTTTCTACAATTCAACGATAAAAACAATGCAGAACGCTGGTCGTCATTCAGTTGTAAAAACTCCTTTCTATAAATCTCAGGTATTGGGATCTTATGTTCATCTAGTGCATAGTTATTGTACGATCCTAATATATTAGAAGAAGCCTCGTGCTCACTATTTTCGTCCATTCTAGGTCTTTCCTTTGGTTTTTTCTCTTCGTCATTATCCAAGACCTCCCTATCACTGTTAAGGCATTCGTTCAATTCCTCCGTTAGCACAGAGTCCCCATCGCTTAGACTTGATTCATTGAGGTTATTACTTGTTCCAAGACCTATCTTTTCCATAGGTAAGGTAAATCCCCCAATCACCTCTGAGGAGCAATATCTTGGATATGCAATATGGATAAGTGAGAACCTCATAAACCTGAAAAATATATCAGAGACTCCAAAAGACACACACACCCTTTCTTCCTTCTTGAAAAGAATTTCTTCGTTTAGCCTTACTAGTAACTTGCTTCCACTAGATTCCTCTACAATTCCTTTTGAAATCCTTACAAGATCAGAGCTGAACAGGGTCAAATGTATATTGTTTGAAGGCATTTCCCCTTGAAGATCTAACCCAACTAGAGTACCCCTTTGGTACCTGAGGACCGCTGGGATAAACGACTCCACCGTCCTTGCCTCTTCTTCATCAATTGCATCTAGCTGCCTTCTTAGAAAGTGCGTCTTTTCTAAGCTCTTTATCTTTAGCAAAGCGTTACAACTGTGGTCTTCACATTCACATTCGCAAGGCTCCCTGAATATAGCAATCTTGTTCCTAAGGTTTAGTAAGCTTCTGATTTCTTGATGTCTTAATTTAACTTCAACCAGCTCTCCAGCAGGGATATAGTATAAGAATGGAGAGAAGTCATCTCCTGTCTTTTCTTTAAGCATGAGGGCATATAGGATTACTTGCGCACGATGCTCTGGCCGTTGCGACTTGGTGCTCTTGATCTCTAAAACCGTATCAATTCCAATTGCATCTGCGTCTCCTTTGATATTAAATAAAAGAGACATGAGTCTTTTTTCGGTCTCAATAGCTTCAAACTTGTGGTTCTTAAACATGTGTATATTCCTTATTAGTTTCAATGTTTCGTTGAGAGCTGTCTTCTCATCAATTCCGCACTTATACATCAGCATGACATTCTCGGAGATCCCTCTCTTTGCTTGGTTTATTAAGAAATCAAAAGCAAAGTTCTTTTGCACTAAGGCCCTCTCCATGATGGAATGAACTATAACTCCAATAAGAACTCTTACATCTGTATAGGAAAGCTTTATAGAGGCGATCTTAGAGCTTATGTAGCGTTTGTTTCTGCACGTCAGAGATTCTGATAACGTCGTGATGGCAACAGGATCGTCCTCTACTAAGAGATAGTTCTTTGTGTTAGTAATAAAGATCTTGCTTCTTTGAGTGCCCTGTCTTAAATTTTCTTTTTCACATTCCATAGAGTGTTCTTCACATTCAGATTCAAAGATCTCATCCAGGCAATCAATGTCGGAATCTTCATCCTGCTCAGAACAACAAATACAACGGATAACAGTAACCCGATCATTTACCCTGTATTCAACATCGCACCATTCCCCAGACAGGCGACATTCGACATTGTCTCCTATTAACACCACAAAATCCTCGATCTTTCTGATTTCTCTTATTGTAAATTTCGAATACACAGAAACCTCTTTTTCTTTCATATTTACTGCATGGTCTGTGGAAGTAAAAAACGCATCCATATCTGTTGATTCATCATGGTCTTTATCAGAGTGCAAAGGATTTCCAGCATCCTCATTCCAAAAATCCAATGTCGAGATATTTGGTCTTTCTATTTTCCTTGGAACTGTTCTTGTCCCACTTTTGGGCACCTTCCATTTTACTGAAAGCTTCCTCTCCATCTATTGTTCTAAAGCGGGTATGATGGGCTTGAAATGACGAGTTATTCTTGCACAGACTCTGAAGATGCAAATCCCTATTCAGCCCCTCTTTCCAAAAACGGCAAGAGAAGAATGACTACCCTTATTTGTTCGATTTCCTGCGAAGTAAAGATTTGTAAATTTGAAACAAAGTAAATAAAAGTTCTTCCCTAATTTCATCAGGACAAGCAAACAAAATAATCATGCTAAGAAGTGAAAAGATGTGTTTGGTGTCGATGTATTTTAGCAAGGATACAGCAAAGCAAACGATTACTGAGATAGGAAAGAATGGATTGCTTCACTTCAAAGATCTTAACAAGGATATCAAGAGTGAGAATCTACTATATACCAGAGAGATAACACACATGGAGAAGCTCATTTCCAGGCTACAATATCTGACTGGGGATGTCAAGGAGGTTGATGAAGGGATCAAGCATAGTGACATAGATCAGGTAGAGGAGCAGGTCAACAAATTTTTTTCTAGATTGATACAACTGAAGTCGATAAAGAAGGAGACCGATACGAATCAGACCAGGTTAAAGGAGGACCTGTACATGCTAGAGGAGACAGAGAATTTTCTTGGAACAGTTACGGAGGAGGCACATCTCGTCCAGTTTGATTTCATGACTGGGATAGTCGAGAAAGGAAAAAAGCTCTTGATAAGAAAGGTGCTTCACCAAGCATTGAGAAGAAATCTGGTTATAAGAACGAAGGATGTGGAAGACGGGACAAAGGCCGTATTTATTGTATTTGCACATGGGAGCGAGGCATTGGAAAAGGTTAAGGATATATTTTCTTCCTTAGGAGGAAGGATACTGGACCATAAAAAATTCAGGGAGTGCAAGCGAGGATTGCTTGAATTGAGTGCAACAATAAGTCAGATGCAACAGATTGAAGATCACAACGATGAAGCAATAAGAAAAGAGCAGGAAAAGATACGCCACCTTGCAAATACCTGGAGATATTATCTAAATAAGGAGATGAAGATCTATCAGGCTCTTAACAAACTCAGCTTTGATTTTGATCGAGATTGCCTTGTAGGGGAGGCCTGGATTCTTGGAGAGGAGATAGGCAAATTGAAAAGGATCAATGAGATTAAAGGAGACGGAACAAGCCTGTTTGCATTTGAAATTACAGAGAGCGAGGAAATGCCACCCACTTACTTTAAGACAAATGAGTTTACAGAGCCCTTTCAAATCCTTACAAATACTTATGCAGTTCCATCGTATGGAGAAATCAATCCTGCAATATTTACATTATTTACTTTTCCGATGCTTTTTGGATGCATGTTCGGAGATGTATTTCACGGATTACTGCTTCTCTGTTTATCGGTATATCTAATAAGGAATTCAAAGAGGTTTAAGAACTGCTCAGAAACCTTGCAAATGATTGTAAGTGGGAAATACATAATACTAACCTTTTCGATTGGAGCCATGTTTTTTGGGCTTTTATACTCCGACTTTGGGTCTCTTGCAATTCCTTTATTTACTTCAAGCAGAGACAGTAACCGAACCTATCCATTTGGAGTTGACCATATGTGGCATCATTCTAAGAATGAAATGGTTTTTCTCAACTCGATGAAGATGAAGATGTCGATAATAATAGGGTTTTTACACATGAGCTTGGGAGTAGTTATTTCCTTTTTGAATGCTATGTATTTCAACGAGCCTGTAGAGATATATGGTGTGCTGATTCCCCAAACGATCGTCTTCTGTTCATTTGTGGGATACATGGTATTTCTAATAATATACAAATGGCTAGTCACATCTAACTATCCATCAATAATTGGAGTTCTAGTGAACATGTTTACCAATCCGTTTGTTGTTGCAGAGGAGATATATCCTTACCAGCATCGGATGCAACCTCTTTCTATTGTTCCTAATGCTTCTATGTATTCCTTGGATGTTGTTAGGCAAGCCTATATACATGATATTTAAGAATATGGTGAAAAGAGAAGAGATCTCGAGTCTGTGGATTAATCAGTTTATCCATGTTGTTGAGTTTGGGCTTGGACTCATTTCCAATACCTCTTCATATCTTAGATTATGGGCTGTTTCTCTTGCCCATGCCCAGCTTACTAGGGTCCTACATGAGTTTACAATAGGAAAGGAGGGATTTATTACTCCAGTTGTACTTTCTAGTGTTTATATCCTTGGAACCCTTGTTCTTCTTATTGGAATGGAGGGTCTTGGATCATGTCTTCATGCCATGCGGCTTAATTGGGTGGAGTTTCACTCGAAGTTCTTTAGAGGAAAAGGATATCTGTTTGAGCCACTTGGATTCAATATACCTCTTGATGATGAGTGAATATATGTCTAGGACGTTCCTTAATTACCCCAGTGTTCTTAAGAACAGAATAATATCTGATGGAAATAAATTGGACTATATATTTACAACTTACATTTACTCTAGGATCCTTCTTCTTGTGGAGGTAGTAAGGAGAAAAAGGAATTCCCTACGGGGGAATCGAACCCCCACCTCCTGCTTGAAAGGCAGACATCCTAACCACTAGACCAGTAGGAATCTTATATGTATCCTCATAGATACCCTATTCCATGCTTATAATGTTTGCTCTAAAGCCCTATTTTAGATGGTTTATTTGGCCAGATCTCCCCTAAAGGTGATACTATTTGGTGAGCACAGCGTCTTATCAGGAGAAAGATGCCTAGCAGTTGCAGTAGACATCTATGGATATTTGACGATGAAGTCTTCTAAAAAGAGTGAGACTATTGTCATTGATGCAGAAGGAAATCATATAAACTTAATTGAGAAATACAAGCATGTTGTTCCTGGGTTTAGCAAGATTCTCTCCTTGGAAGCCCCATTGGGATGCGGATTAGGAACAAGTGCTGCCATATCTCTTCTATTATCATATGGTAAGACCCGTAACACAGACATATTAAAGGAAGCTCTTGAAATAGAAAACGTATTCCATGGAAAGGCATCTGGCGTTGATGTAATGGCTTGCTATACTGGAGGCCTGATCTCTTTTAAGAAAGGTACTGTGCAAAAGCTTCCTGCTCACCATCTCTCTCGGTTTAAAATACTCATCTTCAACGCCAAAATACCTAAGAACACAGAGATAGCCATTAGGTTAGGGAAACGCAAGAAAGAATTGTATGACGAAATAGGGAAGGTTTCAGAAGAAGCATACAAGCTTCTGCAAAGGGAGTTCACATTGCAGGAGTTGTACAAGCTTATAAGAAGGAATCAAGACTTACTGGACGAGCTAGGGGTCTGTCCCGAAGAAATGAAAGATGTAGTGGACAAAATGAGGGAGATTGGTGTTGAGGCAAAGATAACAGGGGCTGGGTGTGGAGGACATCTTGTAACAGTAGTAAAAAAAGAGCAGGAGATCCCTGGATGGAGATCTGTGTCGATTGATCTGGAGGGATTCCATGCTTTTGGCACTGGATTCCAATGAGTTATGCCTTTCATCTACCCCATGTCTTCGATAATTGAAATACCAAATGCATGTTTTGAATCCATGAGTATTTGCAATAAGCACAGGATCGTGTCATTGGCTGGGAAAAGAAGCTCAGTAATTGTATCATACAGAGATGGCCTCAAGGTTGTTCAAAGAATTCTTGACGAGCATCCCGATGAGAACTTTCAATGCAGTGAGTTCTTTATGGCGGGGAACGATATCTCGCTTGCACTTGGAGGCAAGCTTGGGATCATAAAAATGGTGAACTTATCCAAGGGAACATTTATAGGGCACATTAAGGCTCATGGAGGAAGCATTTCCTCAATCAAAAGATACAAGGACAAGTATCTGCTAAGCTGCAGCGAAGACACAACAATAAAGATGTGGGATATTTCTGAACTAGCATGCGTCTGTATATTTGGAGGTTATAGTGGGCACAGGGATTATGTCTTATCAATAGATGTGAGTAATGATATGAGGTACCTGGCATCCTGTGGAACAGACTGTTCGATAAAAATATGGAGGATTCCATCATATTTGAACAAACTGGAATGCACAACTCCGATTTATTCATCCACACATGAATGTAGGTTTCCCATCGAATGCATCAGGTTTTATGGAGAGCTTCTTGTTTTCTATTCGGGAGAAAAGAGAATCCATGTCATTTCTCTGAAATACGAAGAATCAAAGTCTTCGGCAGAGGCCTTGCTTGCTGGAGAAATCATACTAGAGGAACGATTACTTCGGAAGTTTGATATAAGCGGGAGTACACTGGTGGCTTTAATAGAATCACAAGACGTAATTATGTTTGACATGAATGATATTGGATTTAGATCACATCCTAAAACATTGAAATCTTTTAAAAGAAAAAAGGTCCAAGACTTTTGTGCTGTTGGGGATCAGATATTCATCCTGCTTGAAGACTCGCGTTTTATGACAATGGATCTCACATGATTCAAGCATCACTGTAAACTTATAAGGTTTATATTTTGAAGTATGATATTTTTCTTCGAGTTTCCTCTGCTATCCTATTTTTGTTTCTTATATGGTCGTTTCTAATCCTTCTAATTTCAGATATAGCTTCCATTCCCTTGCCTCCATTGAGAATTTGATTGATTTCAAGGTGTGTACTGCTTATTATTTCTATTAGCTCTTCATGATCAAGCGGAAATGCAAGTAGCTCAATGAATGCGGAGAAGGAAAGATTTACGAGTTCTTTGAATCTGTCCTTATCGAACTTCATCGAGGGGAATGACGTGTTTATAGGAACACTGTTTTCCACTTTATAACTTGTTCCAAAGCTTACGTATGAGGATGGTATCTTTGGAGGCACTTTCTTCTTGAATCTCGGAGGAGCTGGCCAAGTATTCACCTGCATTTTGGGGAAGAGAATTCACAATTAATATCTTACTCTTCTTGGCCTAAACGGGCTTTTAGAGTATCATCAAGAAGGATCATATCAAACCTCCAGTTGATAACCTCGTCGCTGACAAATGAGTCAATAAACTCCTGCTCAAAGCTCGGGCGCTTCTTGTTTGCCATGGGTTCTGAGAATGGAATAAACAAGTCATTGAACAAAATAGTACCAATCTGGATGTCAAGGCTCTATAAAGACCCTGCACTTGGCTACAAGAAGAAAATGAGGAGAGTAATGGAGAAAAAAGAAAATCCTTCTGACTTAGCTACGAAGAGGCATTCTGACTCCAGTGACTTTCAGCCTTCAGTCGAAAAGATAGTAATTCCAAGGATCGAACCGGATATTAGAAGTGCCTTCTTTACCTTCACAAACATAAGCATAAAAACAGAAGATGATCCTGTTTTGAGATTTGTTCCATGTATACCAGGTGCATTTGGGCTTATAAATCTAGCAGAATTCAAAGAGATAGGACTATTGGAAAAACAATGGCCATGCAGTAAGAAAACAGAAGAAGGGGCATTTTATAATAGCTTTGACGCTGTGGATGGATTGAGGCACAATGAGAAATATTCTAAGGGTGGTGAACTTTTAGAAATGAGAAGGTTGTTTTGCAACGTGTGTTTCATCTTCGGATGTAAATGGCACTCCAGGACAAAAGGGGTCTGCATTAAGCCTGTAGGATTTGAAAGTAATCCATCAGGCTCAAAATCCGAATCTAAAGAAGTTTGTGGGGAGGTGTGCAAGAAAATGAAAAGGTTACATAAAAGTATCACAAAGAACGACATAGATCAATCGACCTACAGTGTTCTTTACAGGGATTGCTGGATGTCCCAAGGATATGGATGCATAGCATCCTTACTTTTCTACCTTAGACATAGAAAATATATACCATGCGAAGAAATAAAGGAATCTTGTGCAGCTTTGGTAGGGCGCCATAAGTATGTAATAGGAAATAATAACAGAGGCAATATAGATCCCTCTGCCTTCTTTACACCCTGCGACCATCCTGGAGACTGTGTAGAAAACAATGGATGCATATGTGCATCTAACAGGACTAACTGTGAGATGTCATGCCTTTGCGTGGGATGTAAAAACTTCTTCATGGGGTGTATGTGTCCTGTGGCATGTGATGATAAATGTGCATGCAGACGAGCAATGAGGGAATGCATACAAATATGTTCATGTAGCTTATGTGGAAACAAGGATTTACAGATGGGCAATGCAGAGCCAACATTTGTGGCACCTAGCGGGGTGGAAGGATACGGCTTGTTTGCTAAGGAGAAGATATCGAGAGGCAAGTTTGTTATTGAATATGTAGGAGAGATAATAAGCAACGAAGAGGCTGAGAGAAGGGGAGCCTTTTACGATCTGAGAGGATGTTCGTATCTGTTTGATCTGTATAACAGGGGAGGAATTCCTCTCTATGTCGTTGATTCTAGGTTCATAGGAAATAGGTCCAGATTCATCAACCACTCGAAAAAGAATCCAAATCTAAATGTATCCATTCTACTTGTGAATGGGATTAGACGGATTGGATTTTATGCAAGTAGAGACATAGATAAGAATGAAGAGTTATTCTTTGACTATGGATACAGTGAAGAGCATAAGAAGAAGCATGGAATAGTAGACTGAGGTTTGGAGTATGTCTTATTCCTGGAGTGGGTAAAGTCCTGAATTAAATGTATCTTTTTATACCCTGACCGGATGGTTGGAGTGGAGAGAATTGTAAAGATTAGCAGCTCTGATGTGAAAACACTTCTTGTAAATGATAGGATGGTTATTGGAGGGGGAAGAGAGGGAAAGATAAGAGTGTATGGCCATGATTTTAGCAGGAATATGGGGATTGAGCCTGGACAAGGATACATCAACTGCATCGCAATTGGAAATGGGCTCCTGTTTGTCGGGTGTCAGAATGGAAGCATAGTTGTGTATTCTGTAGATGAGTGCCAATTTCAAATCGAAAGTAAAGAAGAAATGTCGAAAACCATGCCTGTTGGATTCTTAAAAGGACATTCCTCCAATGTATGCTGCTTAGATACTATAGGGGATCTTGTTGTTTCCAGCTCGTGGGATTGCACAGTAATTATTTGGGAGCCGGGGCAAATGAATAACGACAAGAATGGATTAGTGCAGAGGATTCCACACCCCACAGTTGTGTGGAGTGTCAAATTTATCGACAAAAATACTATTGTGACGGGATGTAGCGATAAATTGATCAGGATTTTTAAGGATGGTGTTTTGACGAGCACATTTAACTATCATCTTTCATATGTCAGAAGTGTGACGGTTTTAGACAAAAGCATCTTTTCTGTTGATAACGAAGGTATAGTTCTCAAGACGTCATTGGATGGAAGGGTTATGAAGCATTATTCGACAAAAAACTTTATGTATAGTATATCCTCTTATACAAGGGATGGTAAAAGCCTAGTTATATGCACTGGAGAGAATGGAATGGTTATGGTGTTTGATGAAAACCTCAGACCAATTCAGAATATATCTATACCTACAACATCATGCTGGGCAGCCTTTGGATGGGAAGATAAGATATATTTTGGAGGAAGCGATGGAAGGCTATATGTGTACTCCTCAAATCCTTCAGATGAAGCGAAGAAGGCTATTGAGGAAATAAGAAATTCACGAGGATCGTCATTGAAGGATGGAGAGTTTGTATCTGACGGACAAAAGTTCAAGATTATCAGCGGGGATGTGTATCAAGAAATGAATGGAGAGTGGATCCTTCTTGGTAAAGGAGAAGAGGCCAAGTCTTATGATAACACATTCCAGGTTGAGCTTGAAAACAAATACTACACTCTTTCATTCAACAATGATGAAAATGTCTATGAAGTTGCAGAGAAGTTTCTAAGGAAGAACAAACTTCGGGATGAGTTCAGAGATGACATTGTTGACTTTATCAATAAGAATTTCGTTTCTGCTAAGGAATTCAGAATACATTCAAAAATCAATGCAGAAGGAGTTAGGGCCATGCTAAATAAGGTTAAGGACGAGCATCAGTATGTATATTCATATATTTTTGATAATCTTGAGGACCCAAATGTTGACGACAATGACAAGGTTGAAGAGGAAATAAGAATGCTAATCAACAATGGGCCTATATTTATGGCATTGGACTTGATAAGATACTTTATGGCACACAAGTACACCTTCGATCTGTCCTTTCTATTCACATTTACTCCTCGGGACAAAAAGGAGGCTATTACGTTTGTAAGGCTTCTTAGCAACTTATTCGCCGATCCTCCCTTTAATCTAGAGATACTCCATCCTCGTGTTTTGGAACTAAAGGACCGTGGAATTGTTGACGGAGAAACTCTGGATGATTACTTTGTTAACAAAAGCTTAAGGAGTGGAGCATGATACAAGGGAAAGGATCGATACCTGTCAATAAAAGTACTTTGGTTTGATTATGGAAGGGATTCTGGAGGTTCTTTTGCAAGGTTTGAATAAAAGGCTCCTCAAAAGTGCCCTTTTGAATGGATCTGTTGAAGAGGGCGCTTAGAGAACCCAATGCATGCAGGATGGATCCAGATGAAATAACAATCGGTGGAAAGAAGGTATCTCCCAAACAAACTATTAAATTTAAGGGAACGGAAACCAAAGAATATACCCTTGAGCAGGTTTTGTTCTACCTGCTGAACAAGGATAAGAAGTATACTGCATATATGACGTTATGCCGGGAAAGTGGGATAGGGAAGATATACTATACAGACCAGAAGATTATTGTAGAGGAAATTGAAAGTTTCAAGGAGGCGACCATTGAAGCCAAGATTGATGGACCAGACTTTCGATACATTGGATTCCGAGACTACAGTTATTTAGATGATCTTTGTAAGAAAGAAGGTGAAAGCAAGCCAACAGTTTATTATATCGTAGTTCCCCAGTCTGTATCTTCTCCTGTAAATCTGAGTAACATCAAGGAGTTTTTTGAAGAGGGCAAATGCTCTGAAGGGATCCAGATCAGTGAAGTTGAGAAGGTGGAGTTAAACATTGATGGATATAAGTTTGCTGCGGTGGATGATGTATCAAGATTTACATCTGAGGATTGGAAGAGGGTTGTATGTATATTTCTTGATGGAACAAAATGGCAAGTTAGCAGATGGAATATAAGAGATGTAGGAGAGATATTCAACACCATACCAACATTCTATTTTATTAAGAGGGGAGCTCCAGGAAATTTTTACATAAAGAACTGCAATGTTATTGGGGTTGAGACTCACGGTGGGAAGGTGGACAAGCCTACCCTTAGCTCAATAAGAAAAAGAATTAAAGACTGTATTCTAGGGATGTGAAATAGAAATGGATTAAAGGTATTTGAGGGATTTTTATTTATCTTTTCCTAACCCATTAAATGAGGATTTCCCTTCCTGTATTTACATTACGAGTGAAAGATGGATTTGTCATTGTGGGAGGAGGTGGAGGAGAAAAGGAATTTGGAAAGGGCAACGGGATTAAGGTTCTGGAAGGATCGAACCTTAAAGAACTGGCTTGCTATGAGACTGATGATATCATTATAGATGTAGCTGTCTGTAGCTCTTCAGATGAATTTCACCAGGTCGGGGAAGATGACATGTCATGGGATGAATATGACGAGGAGGAAAGTGCTGTTTCTTCCACGCAGAGCCAGGAGAATCTGGGTGGTATCCAGGATGAATCCCATAATCCAAATGAATCAGAATGTAAAGTTTCAGGTTCTTGTTCCTGTGACAAGAATATGGAAGATGAACTGAAAACTAAGGACGGCAGGGCAGAGTTGCATCTCACAGCCTCTGGAGAGGTGTTTTTTTATCTTCTTAGATTTAACGGGTTTGACCTTGTACTTATTAAGAAAGTAAGAAAAAAGGTGTCCTCACAAATATTTGTTAAAGACTTGTATGTGGTCAGTGACAAAAAACTGTATGGATTCTATGACGTGATTAGCACGCCTGGCTCACTAGACGATTTGTTGAAGCCTGAAAGAAAAAGAAAGAAGGCGAATGGATCATTGCTCAGTGATGAGTCTCATGAGGAATACATATACAGGCCTTGCAGGAAGAATGGGAAGATTATCTTGAAGAGAGAGGAAGGAAAATCTGATATAGTCAGTAATTGGGAAGGGTTTTTTATAACTTCAGGATTGGCTCACAAGATTGTCTATGAGGATGGAAGATACAATTTTGTATATAACTCTAAGAAGTATTCTTATGAAAAGGTAATTGGGGGAATAGCTTATAATAATGGAATGCTTGTATATTATCTAAAAGGAAAAGATTCTAGCTTGTATTTTCAAGGTGATCATGAAAAGATCTATAACATTCCAAAGATCACCGTGATGTCATGTGAAGGCCAGAGGACTATTGTTGGAACAGCCGATGGCTATATCTATCTATTTGATAGATGTGTCCTGAGTAAAAGAAGAAAAGTGTATGACGTACCGATAACTGGTGTAGGCTTTATGAATGACCAGGTTTATTTCTCCTCACTGGATGGTTTTGTTGGGACAGAAAAGACGACTAGAGGATTCAGTATGTTTCTTATCATGGTCTCCATTGGCATCTTCATTTTTGCAATAGTGATGGGTATTATTTCAAAAACTGTCAGGCATTCTTTCTTGGATAAATAAACTACTCTACGGTTGAATCTTCAGGCATGTCATGAACAATAAAATATGAAATCCTATCCCCATTGATCGAAAACCAACCGCTTGGCCTCTACAACGTGAGGAAGCTCATTCTTAAATATCTCGAAGACTCGTTTCTGTGTTTCCATTTTTCCACAGGCATAAGCGATGCATTCTTCATCGACATACCCTTTGATTTCATCGATCCTTTCCACCAAGTAATCTGTGACGTAAATTCCGGTACTAGACTTGACTCTAGAGACCCTTACATTCTTATCAGGCCCTATTAGTTTGGAAAGGTCGTCCTCGTCGTTCCTGAATCCATATATGATCCAGATGCTTTGATGTGGTTGGAGATTGGACGCAAATGACAGAAAAGGTGCTATTCCTGTTCCTGTACATATTGCTAATAGCTTTCTACTACCATAATCCATCCTGAAAAGAAGGTTTATTCTCAAGGACAATTCAACCTCCTCTACCTCAGATCTAACTAAAAAGTCGGAGACATGTCCGTACCTGACAAATCCATCGAAGATCTTATTTGTTATGCCAACAAGGATTTCAGATTCCTCCCCAATCTTATTTATCAAAGAGAAGTACCTGGGTTTTACTATCTCACATTCTCCTATAACTTCTTCCAACACAGGCCTACACTCAAAGGTCTTTATAATGTCGATAATGTTATTCCACCTTCTTCCCATGCCAAGGTAGTCTACTATCCCTTCTTTAGAGCATAGATACTCAATGTACTTCCGATTTGTTTCTGTGCAACCTTTTGCCAGATTAGCCAATAATGATTTCCTTGGAAGGCTTGTGAAGTCGAAATAGTATTTGAAAAAGTCTCTAATGGATCCTGTATAGCTGAATGAATTCTTTCCTGGCCTTCTTATCTGACAGTAAGAATTCTTGACCTCAAACACCTCCATAATCTCATCCACCAAAGTATCATTATTGGGACATAACATTCCAATAGAATCCCCAGGCTTAAAGTGGAACTTCTCATCAAACTTTATACGATAAACATCTCTCCAACTAGCCTCGAGCTTCTCAATCTCCACTATTCTAACCCTACGGTACTCAATGTTTTCAGTGCAAGGAAATATAAACTTTCGAGGGGAATGTCCTATATCATTAAACACCACCTCAGCCTTATTGAAGATTCTTGGAATGTTTTTTGTATAGTCTTCCTTGTATTCAAATTTAATAGGATTAAGAGCCATGTTCAGGGTGATACATCGGTGTTCTTTTCAAAGAGAAATAATCAAAAACATTTATTCATCATAAATACACAGTCATCTCCACATCTTTCTCCCAGGCTTTTTGAGGTTTCGAACATTAACTTTTCTTATGTCATCAGGCATAGTCACGATGACATTACTGTCTTCTCCAAACTCAAAATTGTCTGCAATAACCAAATCATTGCATTTGGCCAGCTGATACGAGTACAGCTTTCCATTAAGCACATCGTCTAAATTCCACTTGACCACATAACTTCCGGTGCTTGTTATTATGCTGCTCTCAGAGGCATCCGTGCTGAACTTTGCAGGCGTAAAGTCTATCTCCTCATTAATGTATGCCAAATGCTCTGGCTTTAATTGAAGTCTTTTTGGGACAGGCTTATTTTTTCCGATAGGTTGCTTGTAGTCTCCAGGAACAGTCGTCAGCATTAGATAGTTTTTACATGTACAAACAATATGTCTTCCATTGCTTGTGACGTCTATGTACTTGATTTCATCTCCAAATCCTGGAAGAAGGGATTTTGCCCTTTTATCAATCTTGTCGTAGAGCCTCAGGTCTCCTCCCTTCCCTGCGGCGACAACATGCCCAGAACTTGTGGCCATCCCGCAATTGAACCCATTCTTTGTTTTGTAATCCTTCGATTCAACAACCTTGCTTTTTGCCCTTGGATCAATCCTAAACACAGAGTAGTCAGAAAGGCCAATAAGTGACCCAGTATCAACTAACTTCTGTGAATCAAAGTAGTCATTAACGTTCCTTTGAACATCCCATGTTTCAATAACCTCTCCTCTTTCTACATCCAGCTTGTGCAACTTATCTCTTTCACTCTTGTCCAAAAAAATTAGTGAGGAGCAGTTGTCATGTGTGATTATCTTCTCTACATCATCATCCAGTACATCCTTAATGTTTGCCTTGAATTCTAGGCCATCATTTGTGTTCTTGAATACCCCCACTGACTTTCCTCTTGTAATAAAGGCCATCTCGTCTCCTACAACAAGATGCTTATTCTTCTCGTCTGCCTCTCCAAAATGATTTTCAAGTTCATCATCATCACAACTCTCATACTCTTCAGCCTCCTCTGAATCCTCGGACATGTCAGGATTATAGTTCTCTATCTCCATCTTTTCAAAGTACTTTTCCGTCTCCTCATCCCCATTCCTTTCATGGTTAACATTCCTATAAAGGCATCCAATGTACTTACTGAGAAACTCAAGAAAATCAAGATTGTCCAGGAACCTCAACGAAAACGTATGGAAAACCCCATTCTCCATTACAGACCATACAAACGTTGCATTCTTCTGATCCATATAATACTGTGTCTCCGTCCTTATTTCTTCGAAATGTACAACGTCATTTCTTGTCTCTATTCTAATCAGAAAAACCTCGTCTTCTACAATAAATACATCCACCTGTCCCTCAGACTCTTCAAATCTTCCTATGGTTGTGTTGTATCTTGAGTATACCGCTCTTTTGCGGTAGAGAGTCTTAGGTTTCTTTATGAGAGGGGCCATGCTATTATAAAGAGAGCCTAGGACTTCTCCGCTTGTAAAAAGATACTTCTTCTGGTCATGAATAAACCATAGGGCTTTGCCGTCGTATTCAACCGATACAATCTCACCAAGATTGAATAGCATCTTGCTTTTCTTTGATACAAATGAAAGCTCAGCCTCCGACACAGACACTGTGCACTCTTTCATCAGAGCCACCCCTCCACGATATAGATCCCCAAACAGCCCTTTCCTTTTCACGTTAGATAGCATCTTCTTTATTCTACTAAGAACCATGGGTTATGGAAATTCATCCTATATGTATGCCTCGCTCAAAAAGCATTTGATGGAATAGACTTTTATTATCCGAAAAGTAAGATGCACAGCTTTGGCGATTCTTTAATGAGAATACTCCTTCTATCTCGGCAATTTTTATGGTACACCATCCATTCTCAATTCCAGTACGTAGCATCTGCAACGAAAACATCTCTTATATAAGACAGATGACTATATTCCACTTGAATCATCGTAAAACATGTTGTAGATAGTTGTTTGCCTCCTAAGGATGTCCAGTAATTCTTCCTGATCTTTAAGATACCTCTCAATTGCCCTTTCATCCTTCTTTCCGCAGGACCTGGTATAGATGTCATTGTATTCATCCTTGGCTTTCTTGAGAAAATAACTTCCAAATGCTGGAGACTTGAACTGAAGAATTACAGACTCAAGATTCTTATAGAGGTTGTTGACAGATTCAGGAAGCATCTTAAGGGATTAAAATTCTCTCTAATAAAACATCATGTTATTCAATTAGGCATGGCCTTGTCAATCACTCCCTTGGCCTCAGCAAAATAGTTGAATACGTCATCCTTAAGTCTGCAAAGAGCTGACTGTATTGCAGTTATGTCGTTTACATGCTCGTTTCTCTTCTTTACAAGTTCATACTCAATGTTTTTTGTTAGCCGTACATTTTCTTCAATCTTCCTTCTTATAGAGTTTCTTTCATCAGAAACAACTCCATAGTTGTTCTTGAGCTTCTCAAGTTTTGCAGATATTTCTTCAGAGCACCTTTTGTCATTGTCTTGGAGGTTGAATATTTTGGACTCAATGTGAGAAATCTGCCTATTAACATGGTTCAGCCGGATCTTCAAGGCATTAATTCCAGAATCAAGATTCTTTATCTGAACCTCTAGCTCAGATATTTCTCTGTTTGTTCTATCAATGGTTTTATCCGCCTCTTTATTAGAAAGAGATAATGTAATTGCTTTCATTGTATCCTCTTTCATCAATTCCATAAGATCAATTCTTTCCTTGAGGTTCATTCTTTTTACTTCCAATCCTCTCACTATTTCGTTTTCTTTGGAAATCAAGCATCTCATCTCGTCAACTAGCTCCATGAGTTTTGTCGGATCACTCACAACCTGTGTCTTCAGGCATGTTATCTCTTGGCTAAGATTAAGCAACATTAGCCTCAAAGAGCTTAGCTTATCACTGTACTCATTCCTCTCCGCTTTAACTCTTTCCGTCTCTTGGACTAAGGCTCTCTGATGCTTGTAGAAGTCTTTAAGCTCAGACTCAAGCACCAAAATCTCTTTCTCAACCTCCTTTGACTCTTCAATGCTCTTCTTTGCATCTCTTTCGCACATCTCAAGCTCTTTCCTTGCATTGTGAACCTTTTCGTCTATCTCATTCCGAAGAAGCAACTTTTCATCATTCATTCGGCACACTCTTTCATACACATGTCTTTTGTTGTCTCTGAACATCGAAAAGTTCACTACGACACTCAGAATCCCAATAAGCCTTTTTGAATCAGGTGCAAGATCTCTAAGGCCAAAATTCTCAATACCTATTCTTCTGAGGAAGCCTGACATCCTCTTCTGCAGAAGAAGGTACGACAAAGATTCCTCAAATGCCTCTATGTTCCCTATTCTAGACACCATATCAGATGTTCTGATCCCACAGTATACTTCTAGTAATATCTCATAGATCCTTTGAGTTGACTGCGGTGTTGGCTTCAGAATATCACTTGCCTTGATGTTTATTTCCATCTCACTGAAATATTGTATTATTTCCTTGATTGGAAGGTCTGGGACTGCATAAACATTCCTTTTCTGCATCGATGGGGAAAGTTTCCAGAACTTTAGGTCCGAAATTTTTTATCTTGTGCCAATTACCGATACCAGAACCAAACAATGTTTTCCAATGGACAGAGATGGGTTGAAATACCACAATAGAGTGTAGATTTGGTGAAAAAAACTTCAAAACAGAGCCCTAATGTCTGAAAAGATTGAAAAGGATGTTGAAGAGCAGATTTCTGGGTTGGATCTTTCTGAATATAAGAACATTGAGCTGTCAAAAATAACCAAGAAGGATATAGGACAGAAAATTCGAACTTTTGGATGGGTTTCAAATGTAAGATCCCAGTCTGCTATAACATTCATTGAGTTGTATGCACATTACAAGACAGTAAAGTGTGTATATCAGAAGAAGATGCATCTTACCATATGCACATCTATGACTGTTTATGGAACAGTATCAAAAAACTTTGGGAAGAAGGATGCCCATGAGTTTGAGATACAAGTTGAGGGGGTTGAGATATACAATGAAGCCATAGCACCCTCTTTCCCATTGAATGAGGAGTCGTCAGTGAATGCCATACTCACAAATGGCCATCTTGCTCTTAGAACAAAAAAACGCCAGCTATTTCTTAAGGCAAGAAGCCACCTCTTGAAGATTATAAGAGACTTTTACTTTGAGAGGGAATACACAGAGATCACTCCTCCAACAATGGTTCAGACACAGGTTGAGGGAGGAAGTACGCTGTTTAAGTTGGATTACTATGGTGCTGATGCCTACCTGACTCAGTCGTCCCAGCTTTATCTTGAAACTGTGGTGCCTGTCTCACATCGTGCTTATTGTATAATGCCATCCTACCGGGCTGAAAAAAGTAGGACGAGAAGACATTTAAGCGAGTACACTCATGTTGAAGCCGAACTGGCAGATGTTGATCTAAACGGGCTTATATCTTCTATTGAGGCTTTAATATCATATTCGATGAAGAGATTCTATGAAGATATGAAAGAGGATATTTTGAATGTGTTTCCTAATTTTGAATTCCACAAGGTTCCGGAGGTCCCATTCAAGAAGATTAAATATCCCGAGGCTATTGAGTTGTTAAGAAGCAAAGGATATAAGAAGGAAGATGGAGCAGACTTTGAGCTTGGAGATGATATTCCCGATGCTGCTGAAAGATATCTCATTGAAGTTATTGGGGATGGACTACCCGTGTTTTTAACACACTTTCTTGTGGAACACAAACCTTTTTATATGAGAAAGGACGAAAACGATAAGAACCTAACAGAAAGTACTGATCTTCTGTTTCCAGGAATTGGGGAGATTCTGGGAGGGTCAATGAGACAAGACACCTATGAAGATCTAATCGAAGGGTTTAAGAGGGAAAACATAAGTATCGACCCATACTACTGGTATCTTGACATGGCAAGGTTTGGGCCATGCAGACATGGAGGATATGGCCTTGGCTTCGAAAGGTTCCTGATGGGTCTTATGAAATATGAAAACGTCGACGAGGCAACGCTCTATCCAAGAAAGGTCTCCCGATGCCAGCCCTGAGAAATGGCTTGCAACTTCAACTTAGTAAATGGTAGGTGAAATGATTTATGCTATTTCTTTTAGTTCTTGTACTTCTGCATGAGAGACATATTGTATTCAAAATCAAACCTCTCATTCGAAGGAGAATCTCTAAAGAAGCAACTTAGGGATTTCTCGACACTTAGGTTATATTTCCTGAGTCCCTGAATTGCAATGTCTCTGTATCCAATGCTGCAAATCCTTTCAGCTATTCGGTGCTTGAAGTACTCCTCAGAATGCAGAGATAGCTTGTAAGTGTCTTTCATATAACGTTCTGCCATTCTTCTTTCCCCTGCATGCTCCGAGTCCAAAAGTATTAATAATCTGAGAAGTATCTCTCCTTCACTTAATTTGTGATCAAATGCCATCTGGCCTTCTGGCTGCCCGGGCTTTGTCCATTCTTTTCCCTCGCAGATGTTTTTGGATTTTGATCCTATTACTCCACTTTTGCTTGAAAATCTTCGAACCAGCTTCACTTCTTCTTTGTCTAGCTTCTTTATCCTTCCATACAGATGAAGGATAAGAAATGCTAGGACATTGTTTTCCTCGCTATAGCAGGAACTAAGCTCCTTGTAAAGCAGGCCCCTAAGTTCCTTGTAGGCCATGGAAGCAATACATTCTGAATCTTTTACAAATACTTTTCTAACTAGATGGGAGAATATCTCTATTCCTGCATTTCTTATGGCCCAAGGATGGGATCGACTACATCTGAAGGCTAACTTGAACAACTCAGTCATCTTAAAGGGTATCTTTGAGCTTAGGCATCCATCATCAATAATCCTACTTAGAATGTTTAGACAATGAAGTTGGGTGGCATTGTCGCCCCTATTAATTAACTCAAATAACTTCTCTAGGATGTTATCAATAACGAATGGACAGCTTTTAAGAATGGCCGCAAAGAGTAGGGGTATTCCTCCACTTCTCCTGAAAGAAACCTTGCAATCCTTAACTCTATTAAATGACATGTCTATTATCTCTAGTAGATCATGCCTCCCAAGGACTCCGCTCTTAAGTGCTGCATTCAAATATTGAGACACCTGAAGTATGACACCTAGGTGGTTTATGTGTAAAAGTACTTCCACCAGCCTCCAAAGAGAGCTCTTGCTACTGTCCAATGCCATTGAGTAATAATATTTACAACACTCATTCATGTTTTTACAATAAATCCTCAACCTCTCGTACTCTTTTCCATAGATATCATTTGAAAGCTTCTCGAAGCAACATTTGTAAATGACATCTACACAGGCCCCAATATCATATCTCATTCCTGAAAACAGATTTAGAAACCCGTGGATTGAAACCTCTTCCATACCTTTTTTCCCACCTATAATGTCTGCCATTTTGCTGTCAAAGACCTTCTTCAGAGTACTAACAACCCCCTTTGGCTGGTAGCTCTTGATGTATTCTACACACCCATCCACATCGTATGATTGATAGCTCTCTATCTTCGTACTCATTTCCTTGAAGCTTAGGGATATACCACTGTATTTGCAGCCAACCTTCCTTATCTCATAATCAGAGTCAAATAGTAATTGGGCGCATCCAGGTGCCTCAATAATACCCTCTGATATAAATGAATCCATAAGGTACACCCCAAGCAACCTCCTAGATGTGTTTCTGCTTCTGACCATAGGAGCTACAACCTCCGAATGCATCGTGCTAAGCCTATGCTTCTCATTGGTTCCTTTTTTAAGCCATGACCGAAAGTATCTGCATAGTAACTTAAGCATGCTTCTACCGTAGATAAATTGGTTAACCTCTAGAAATTTCTCCATCAGCTCAACGTTATTGATATGTCTAACCGACTCGATTCTTACATCTATGTCTTTGTAAGTAAAGAACTTGCGCACATCGTCCATTTTTAACGGCAGAAATAGCCTTATTACAGAATCATCTGTAGTCATCTTGCTAATCGTCTGAATCTTGTCAGGAGAAAGTTCTCTAATTAGTTCTCGAAGGTGTGAGTATCCTGTGCTACTGAGTCTGTCTGGCAGATACAAAAAAAGCCTTTCGTCCATATCCCTAAGTATTCTTTTTGAATACTTAAAAGAAGCCTTGTCCATATTGGAAAAGATCCTTTTCACAAGCCTTATGGACCTTGGATCCTCTGGACTTAAGCCCTTGGGATCGAAAAGGCTCATTTCTATGACTTCTTCATAGGTAAATATCTTAAAAACAAGGTCTGCCCTGGAAAGGGAGTATGCTATCAGTGTCTTCAGAATGGGCTGCCTCAAGAAGGTTATGTGTATATATGCCCTACATTCGCAAAGCACCTTTTCATCATGCACCTTGTACTTTGTGGCAAGTTTGTAGAACATTATGAATATTGTAGCCTGGCTTTCCTTGGATGCGGTAGGAAGGAGTAGTAATAGGTTATCTACAGCACCATCAGTGCAGTTTTTAAACTGTGTTTCCATCAGGCAGAGCTTAAATCTGGTCTTGGATTCCTCGTCATTGTATTTCCATAGATAGTCGAGCATGGACTCAGACCCATTTTTTCGGACATAGGATATTTTCGTTCCACTTTTGAGGTTCATAGACATTATCTCATCGTGACTAATTCTGTGCATTCTAGAGACTTCCACTGCCAGTAGAGAAAGATCTTTAGCACTCCAGCCAGGAGACATTGGGGACCAGAAATTTCACTCTTCAAATCATAAGAATTGAAACGGATACCCTTGATGGATTATAATAGTAAGATAAAGGTTGTTGAAGAGAGGTCTCTTACCCCAGAAAAGGCCAAGGAAATGCTGAGGGAATTTCTACTGGACAATGATGACCTAGAAGGAATCCAAGTCCTACAGCTTGAAGAGTTTCTGAACAATGTCTGAGACGTTTACATGAAAGGTTCCGTCATAAAGATTAGGATCATATGAACGTAGGATGACAGAACTTTCAATAACCTCGCCAAAACCAAGTGTCATTTCTTGCGTCATCAACTAAACAAACAAATGTCGCAAGAAGCTCGAGAGGTCTCTAATTTGGTCGGTAGCATTCAGAAAACATGTGATTTTGGAATAACTTCACAGCATTGGCAGCTCAAAGACATGATCAAGATCAAAGGGGAATCCTTGGTGTTTCCCAGAGCATGTAATGTAGTTTCCTATAGTCCTCGTGAAAACACAACCAAGACGATATATGAGGGGGTAGACTTCTTTCCTACATCCATATGCCTGAAGGACGACTTTCTAGCCGTAGGAGGGTCTAGAGGCCATCTCAAAATCAAGAACCTTGCTACCAACGAGGTTCTTTCTCAAGTTGTGAGCTCGTCGATCAATAACAATATATGCATGAATAACAATAGAATCTTCATATGCAACAATGATCGAACTCTAAAGATATTTACAATGGAGCTTCAGAATAGCGGATGCATAAATCACGTTGCACAGGTCAACAGTTGTGGAATTAGTCCGGATGGCAAGTTCTTAGTTGTTGTGGGAGATTCAAACGATGTGTTTCTGTACTCCATAGACAACGACAGCTATAAGCTTGTTAAAAAGTTGAAGAGCACTGAGGATGGAGGATTCAGCGTGTCATGGAATAGCATGTCTTCTACATTTGCAGTTGGAACCCAGGATGGGTATGTGTGTATATGGGACATAAGAAGCGACGGCATGCTTCATAGGTTTGAGAGTAAGCAGAAGGATAGCCATCGAGGAGCTGTTCGGAATGTGAAGTTTTCTTTGAAGAACTCCCTGGACCTGTTATTTTTTACAGAGCATTTCTCGTTTCTGACGGTCTGTGACATGAGAGACTTCAGGAGATGCCAAAGAGTTAAGGTATTTCCAGATAAGCAGATAACTGGAGCTATATTTTCCGAAATGAATGATAGGATATTTGTTAGTACCGAAGATCAAATAATTGATATGAATATCAACTCAAAGTCAAGACGCATGTTTGCAGGATTGTGAAGCATATTGTTTCCTTATCAATCTCTTTTGAGAGGCATAGGAGGAAAGGCCTTTCCAATGCCCTGGTCTGAATGTTAAGACATTAAAAAATTATCCCAGAGAATGAGAGAGAATTACTACAATAAGAAGAAGTTGAAGTATCTCGAGATGCTAAGGTCTGGAAGGCCAAAGAAAAACTCAAGGGGGGACATAATCAAAGATGCACCTTTCCAAAGTTCAAAGGCTGATGTCGGAAGGATTGAGCCAAGTAGAAAATGGTTTAGTGGATCCAAAACCATATCTCCCACGGAACTGGATGCATTTAGATCTGAGACAAAGATAGAGAGTCCTTATAACGTACTTCTCAGTACGGGGAAGGTACCCTACTCCCTACTGGAGGATGGAACAAAGAAGAGAAAAGCCAAGGACTTTGGGGCGGTTTTTGGAAAGAAGTCTGTAAGGAAGAAACCCAATCTTCAATATAATAGCCTAGAGGAATTGTCTCAGCAGGTTAAAGAAGTAAAGGAAAGAAAGAAGGAGATTAAGAAGGAGCATGTGAAAGGGCAAAGCCATAGGATATGGCTTGAGTTATATAAAGTTCTGGACAGTAGCGATGTCATTATCCATGTTCTTGATGCAAGGGATCCATTGGGAACCATGTGTGATAAGATAGCTAACTATATTAAGGAAGAGGCGCCTCATAAGCATCTTATGTATGTTCTGAACAAAGTAGATCTTATTCCGACAGGGGTCACAGCAAAGTGGTTAAGGTACTTCTCTAAGTCGCATCCTACCATAGCATACCATTCTAATTCAATAACGAAGAATTATGGAAAGGCTAATTTGATAGGACTGTTAAAGCAACTTAGCAAGCTATATAAAAAGAGACATTTGAGTGTTGGATTTGTTGGATATCCAAATACAGGCAAGAGCAGTATAATAAATACCTTAAGAAACAAGGAAGTGTGCAAGGTTGCGCCTGTTCCCGGAGAGACTAAGGTATGGCAATACATAACACTCACAGGAGGAATATATCTTATAGACTGCCCGGGAATTGTTCCCATTCCAAACTATGACCAAGCAGTCCTTAGGGGTGCTGTAAGAATTGAAAACATCGAGGATCCTGAAGACTATATAGACATGATAATTGAAAAGGCTAGGAACTCCATAGCAAAGGCCTACAGGATTCAATTCGTTGATTCTGCAGACTTACTTGAAAGGCTTGCAGTTAGATTCGGTAAGCTGCGAAAGGGAGGAGAGCCCAATACCAATGCAGTCTCTAAAATGATCCTTCATGACTGGGTCAGAGGAAAGATCCCTTACTTTGTACCTCCAAAGGAAGATGATGAAGAATAGAAGAAAGCCCATATAACAGTATGGTTTTTCGACGATATTAAAAAGCCAGTGAATACCTGGACATTGAAATTCAAAATGTTTATTTTTTATTCTTGATCCTTGTCTATGTTACTTTCATACAAGCGGTTTAGACCTCCATCAGAAAGAGGAGATATTTCTTTTCCTAACTTTGCCTCTATGTCCGCTAGCATTTCTCTTTCTTCAATCGTAACCAAGCTTATTGCAACACCACGGGTTCCAAATCTCCCTGCCCTTCCAATCCTGTGGAGATAGGACTCAGGAGATTTAGGAATATCGAAATTGATTACATAGTTTGTATTTGGAACATCTACTCCGCGTGTAATGAGGTCTGTTGCAACTAGAATCTTGCACTTTCCTTTTAGAAAGTTGTGAAATACTATGTTTCTGTCCTCCTGTGTCATCTTCGAATGGATAAAATAAGAAGGCATTCCCATTCCAGTGATTCTCATGGCAAGAAGTTCTACAGTTCTGATATTGTTACAGAATATCACACACTGATTGATCTTTAGCTTCAAAAGAAGGGACCTCAAGCATATAAGCTTTTCAGAGGGCTTCACCTGCGTATAGAACTGTTTGATTCCTATAGGCGCAAGCTCCTTCATAAGGTTTATGCATAGTGGATCTCTCATGTACCTTTTAATAAACCCTGTAACAAAATAAGGGAATGTTGCTGAATACAGTAAGATCTGTCTTTCTCTTGGTAGTAGCTCCAGAAGTCTGGTAACAGTTTCTCCAAATGTCACATCAAGTAACTTATCTGCTTCATCAAATACTAGTATGACCTTCTTTGAAATCACTCCAATTTTCTTTTCTACTAAATCCACTATCCTTCCCGGTGTTCCTACCATCACATGGACTCCGTTTGATACCCTTATGATATCATCCTGCATATTCGTCCCTCCAACAACGGGTACAGATGCAACTCCCATACCTTCAGATAATCTTTTAACATTCCTTGATATCTGTAACGCAAGCTCCCTTATGGGAACCAAAATAATTCCCTGGATGCTCAACTCATCAGGGTTTATTGCATTGAGCATAGGAATTACATAGGATGCCGTTTTCCCGGTCCCATTCTTGGATCTGACTAGCAGATTCCTTCCCTTCAGAGCACGTGGAATCGATGCCGCTTGAACAGGTGAAGGGAATTCATATCCAATGGTATATATTCTTTTCAAGAGTAGCGGTCTTAACCCAAACATTTCCCACCTGATGTTATCTGTTGGCCTTACATCCTTTGTTAATAATCTTTTTATACTTTCTTCCAAACTCCTGTTCGATGAAGATGTTTCACCGGATGTGATGCTTTCTGTTCTCTTTTCTTCTTTTTCATTGTCTTTGATACACAGATGGTTTCCATCTCCTTTCCTTTTACTACTTCTCACTTCATTTCCAAACTCCTCGATATCATTTAGGCTGCTAGACTTCTTCTCCTCACATCTTTCTTGCAAAGCCCCCTTCTTCCAAGTTCTTTCATGGCTATTCCTTCCATTTCTTTTTCTATCTTTCTTCACATCCTCAACCATGCTTTTCATGGGCATTACCACCACACATTTGTTTGAACTTCAATCAAAATTTATGGCTTGGAAAGGCCATGTAATTTCAATCTCAAGGTATTCTATGATCTAATCAAATATTTCTTGGAGAAATCATCAGATAAGATATCGTATTTTTGTTTGCACTTTACACAGAACTCATCAGACAAGTACAAAAAGGACTGTTTTAAGCATCTCCTGCATATAATGTCATTGCACATGAGTCTTTGTAAATTGGCACGATCTTCTCCGGTAAACACTTTACAGCATACATCACACACATCTCGTTTGGGTATCGTATCGCTAAAAACTCGTGTTTTCATGATCATTCTTCCAAGGTGGTTTATTTTATCATTAGAGATGGAGTAAATCCTATTACATTTGAAGGACTCCTCAATTGCATAAAAATCGTCTACAATCTCCTCCCGAATGTTGAGCAAGATCATCATTATGTATGTATAGAAGGAGATATTAATTGTCGGAAACGCCTTGTTTACTAACCTGATGATCTCACTACTATCCTCTCCTTTAGTTTGCTTCTTGGTAAATGACTTCAGCTTTATAACATATTCCTTTGCTACACTACTGTCTTGTGGATACTTAACACTTCCATTATTTACTCTCCTTATAAAGTCTTTAGCCAACTCCTCGATGTAGTCCGCTCCAAGGCTATGGCTTGCCCTTTCCCTCTTAAACCTTGGAAAGACCGTGCGGTTTAGCCCTCGGAGTCTTCTCGCGTCAATCAGCAACACTTCCCTCACCTCTGTATTTACTCGGCTTAGTATCGAATCCACAACATCTCCCTGGTCTTGAACATCTATGGAAATCAGATCTCCTGCCTCTATTGCATACGAAAAACGCACATTCTGAAACATTTCCAACCCGTTCACCACCATTGTGCTTGTCCCAAACCACCTCAGACGGCCCATGTCTACCTTATTCGTTATATCCATCCTGTTCTTATGTTTTACAAACAGAATCAACAGAAGATTAAACAAAAGAACCAAAAAAACCAAGCATCTCTTCTTTATTCTCTTTGGCCCTAGTTTCATATGGATACAACTTTAACTTCTTTTTTCGTTTGATCAGGTATAAATATTTATTAGAAACTTCGATCCCAATCAAATCATCCAAGCTTCAGATGAAATAGAAACCCCATTATCCCCTCTATTCTTCCCTGGCTCAACCCGCTAACCTCATAGAACTTCCTTATTCTATCTTTATCTACAATGGGGTCTAGAATCTCCGTTACGTCGATGGCAACAGGGTTCAAATACAATTCCATTAGTACCTTTACATCTTCTTCTTCTATAGACCCTTTTCTAACCGCTTCGAGAGCTTTAACTGGCCCTATCCCCTTAACCCCTGGTGTATAGTCACTTCCTAACATATGTGAAAGCCTTATTAGGTTCTTTCTATCGAGCCTCAGATCCTTTTCAATCTTCTCCAGACTGTATTTCTCTATTTCCCTATCTCTTCTGAAAAAGTTTCTGTAGACAGTTCCACCATAGAGCAAGACATCGTTGTCTTCGGTTATTACTCCATCAACAATGTTTCTATAGCACATAAATCCGCACTGCGAGTCTGCCTCGGTGGGCGCATCCACATATGAAATGTTAAATACATCTAGAACATCCTTAATGATCCTTAGTACCCTACAAATGTCACGGCTTTCCTGACATATCTCATCGGGGACTCCTCTCTTGGTGACCCTATCGTAGTTCTCTACGTATCCCTCAGACAAAGATCCAGGGCTATTGTCCAAAATAAAGAACCCTCCCATCATCCTTTCCTTTGAGCTACTTATGGAAGCCACTTTCGAAGTATCAACAGTGTCTGTTCTTTCAATATCCCCATCCCTTTCTTTGGATTTATCCTCCACTGCTCTGTACTCATCAACCAACCTTTTAAGAGTTGGATAGGACTCCAAGTATTCCTGAGGTATACTGTCGCCTGCATATATCCTATTACTTTGTTCGGGTTCATTAACATCTATAAACGATTCAACCATTGAAGAGGATTCCTTCACCGTAGATCCATTAACCTTCTTCGTTGGTGGATTAGTGTTGTCACTTGGCTTTTTCGTAAGCTTGTATACAGATCTGCAGTCTCCATGAACTCTTTTGTATCCTTCCTTCTCTAGAACTTTTATGTTGTGGCTTACAAGATTCCGAGTTCTTAGATTCTTGATCTGTAGCCGCGAGAAAGTATCTGGATCATTAGAATTGCACCTTGTCCTTATTTCCTTTCTTCGTCCCCTTAGATCAACCAGCCTCTTGAGCTTCTGTGTCCTAGATAAATCTTTGGATTCTACAAAATCGAAGCTTATACTTGGCTCCAAGATATCGCCTTGATCTTCTTGCTTAACAGAAAGGATATCCTCACTAGAGCTTGTTTCATACCCAGATAAATATGAATCAGAGTCAGACTCAAAAAAATCTCCCCAGTTATACCTGCCCTCTCCAAGTGTAACAAGCATATGCCCATCATGTGTAATTTCCTTATTTCCTTCGTTTCTAAGCATTCGGTCTATCGATGCCATCGAATTCTTACTGATTCTCCTTCTCCTCTCTAGAATAGCTTGGCGCTTTATCTCTGGAGCTTTTCCATCAAAGACAAAAATAGGCTTGATTCCATGGTACAATAGCTTAGCAATTCTTTTAGAAAAAAAGTATACTATGTCATCGCTCCTCAAGTGGCCATACTGACATATCCAGATGCTCGTGTCCACGGCAAGTCTTATTCCAGATGGTGTAACCCTTTCTGCAGAAGGCTTGAGAATCTTCCACAACGATCGAACACCCATGGGGGCTACATAAACCCCATCAGATATCCTTTCCGTCCAAAGACAGTCTTTACTTCCCTGGATTTTTTGCATTGTTCATTATGAGCTCAACTCGCTCTTTAATATCTGAGGCTGCTTCGGGTGTGATGAAAACGCACATGTCATTTATATCCTCTATTATGAAGTTCTCTGTCTCCCCAAGTTTCAATATAACTTCCTTCACGCTAGGCTCTGTCCTGAGGAAGTATCCTCTTGTTGCCTTCACCATCCCAAGGGCAAGTTCCTAGTATTTAACAGTGTTTTCATTCTCCAATAGGGGCCCCACTGAAATGAGGATAGTCAGTATAGAGGAGCTCGATGTTAACTCCATAGTAAAGTTCTTTGACGATGTGGTGGTTATTCCTACTGAAACTGTATATGGATTGGCAGCAAGTATCCACAACCCTCGTGCTGTGGAGAGGATATTTGAACTTAAAAGAAGACCTGCAGACAACCCGCTCATTGTTCATGTATCTTCGGAACAAATGCTTGAAGAGATTGTTGAGGGACCAATTCCTGTTGAATACAGGAAGCTAATGGATAGATTCTGGCCGGGGCCTCTGAGCCTCTTGTTCAAGTCAAAGGATAGTGTGAGCCCTGTTATTCGAGGTGGGCTTAGTACCATTGCCGTCAGGATGCCTAAGAACAAACAGTTACTGGAAATAATTGAAAGACTTGGAGTGCCAGTGGCAGCACCTTCTGCCAATGTAAGTGGAAGGCCAAGTCCTACAACGGTTGACCACGTGATTGAGGACTTTGGAGACAAAGTGGAGATGATAATTGATGGAGGGCCCTGTTCTGTAGGGGTGGAGTCCACCGTTGTATGGTATGCAGACGGTGTTCTTCAAATACTAAGACCGGGAGGTGTAGGGATTGAGGATATAAAGGACGTTGTTGACTGTGAAGTGGTTATGAAAAACAAGATTGAAGGTGGGGAAGAAGTGTTATCACCAGGTCAGAAGTACAAGCATTATTCTCCAAGATCGCCGTTGGTTTTATTTAAAGGGAGGCCAAAGGAGATGGAAAGTGGAATTCTCAAGTACATCGAAGCAAATCCTGGTATTGCTAGGATAGGAGTTGGATTGCATTCTGGGATAAATATTGAAACACCTTTGGGCAGAAAAGTTGACATTTTCAACATGGGAAATGTCAAGAAAGAGGTATGCAGAAATCTTTTTGAGGGGCTTAGGAAGCTTGATAAGACTAGTGATGTAATTTTGGTTGCTGGAATAGACTGTAACGAAGAAGGATATGCAATTATGGATAGGTTGGAAAGGGCAGCAGATGAGATTATTGAGTCGTAATTGATTAAACCGCTTTTTATCCTTCCGAGTTTGGCTATCTCCAAAGCTTAGAAAAGTAGAAGTAGTAGACCCCATGGAACACCTGTTGTTTGAATATGCTGGAGGATATGGGCTGTTTGAGCTTAAGGAGTATGAAGATATGTCAAAGTCGACGTATGATGACTACACTAAGCTTACCCAAGTTCTGAATCTAAAGTCGAGAATGAAGTTCAACAGTTTTAATGAGGCGTCTGACCACTTAAAATGCCTTTCCCAAGGGCAGATCCATGAGGATCTGAAGAAGTTTCTTGAACTCAACAACGTGAAGATTTTGCACTGCGATTTTTCTCTAAAGAAGAGTCTTGATGAACTCGGAATCAAGCAAAAGGAAAGCGAGAGTATAATGAGAGGAGTTAGGCGAGATTTCAAAAAGCTTATGAGGCTTGAGGAATATGATGGTAAGCAAACGGTGCTTGGTCTAGCATACGAATACTCCAGAGAGAAGGTTGAGTACAATGTGAAGAGAGAGGACTTTATTGTGATACATACCGTTATGCTGTTGGAGCAGGTAGACAAAGACATAAACTCATATTCCATGAGGATAAGGGAGATCTATGGATGGGTATTTCCTGAGCTGGGTGCATTGCTAAAAGAAAACCATGAATACATTTCAGCTGTGAAATATTTTGTGAATGAGGAGGTGGATTCTGATTACACTAAATGTGACCCGGGGATAAATGAAGAAAGGCTTGATGAGATAAAGAAGCTGAGGAAGAACTCTATGGGAATGAAACTTTCTCCGGTAGATATGATTAACCTGAAGAAGTTAATAGAGATAGTGGATAATAAGATTAAGGTCCGAGGAAGCCTCGGCAGATATCTGAAAGAAAAGATGAGTTCTATTGCACCTAATCTTGCAGCTATATTGGGAGATGTTCTTGGAGCAAGGATTATTTCACAAGCAGGAGGGTTGTTGAACCTTGCAAAGGCTCCTGCATCTACATTCCAACTTCTTGGAGCAGAGAAGTCATTGTTTAGGTCGTTAAAAATGAAGAAAAGAACGCCCAAATACGGGCTTCTCTACACTTCTAGCTATGTGTCCAGGGTGCGAGATAAAGACAAAGCAAGGATCTGCCGGTACATTGCAACAAAGTGCTCTATTGCAGCAAAGATTGATTATTTTGGAGAGTCCAGGGGAGATGAATATGGGGTTGAGCTTAAATCACTAATCGACAAGAAGATTCAATCTCTTTGCACCAACGAGGAGGTGGAAAGAACAAGTACAGCTATCCAGAGAGTGTTTGATAGAATAAATGGGATATCGAGAGATGATATTGGAAAAGAAGATGTTCAATCCAAGGAAATATCAAAAAAGGATACAAAACCTAGGAAAAAGCCAAGCAGACATACATCTAAAGAAGAAGTATTTAAGTTTAGAGAGAGGAAGAGTAAGGATGAAGGCAGCTCTCTGAAGAGCAACAAGAGAGTAAGTTTTGATCTATCAAGAAATGATGTCAAGGAAACAGAGAATATATCAAAAAGATCTAATAAAAGAAGATGAGTTGACTAATAAAGTATATCTCTAGGGATTATGCTGAAGATATTTTTGCTTTGATGAACTTCCATTACCAATATACCCATGGAAATAGAAATAGGAAAAGAAGCAATCAGAAGGAGTACAGAATATGCCAATAAAGGCCTTGGAGCAGTATCCTTAAAATCTTTCCGTACTTACTTTGACATAGACAATACATTCGTCTTAAAGAAGCTTGTATTGATCTTATTTCCATTTCACAACAAAGAGTGGGTAAGTGAGGATGAAGGGATGGCAAGACCGGAGCTATATGTCCCAATAATGAGTTTTATCTCGTATGTCCTGATAAGAGCACTACGTCTTGGATTTGAAGGTATGTTTAGCCCGGAAAAGTTAGGAATTGTGTTTACCAGGTTGTTTTTTCTTGAAGCTATGTGTGTACTATTCACAAGAGTTTCTGGATACTTCTTTGATGTAACTCTAAGTACGCTTGACGTGGCGGCATATAGTGGGTACAAGTATGTTATTGCTGTTCTCTTGCAGATAAACAGAATGCAATATGTAAGAATTATCGGAGGAATGTATCTTTATGTAAGCTTCTTTATATTTCTGAGTAGAAGCTTGAAGAGACGCGTGATGGATAGAGGAGCCGAGAGGATGAGAAGGGCATACTACCTCTTTGGAATAGTTATTGTCCAAGAGTTTATTGTATTTTTGCTATCTTAACAATAAAAACTTCTTTTCTTCTAGACTTTTGATTCCGTTAGCCATATTCAAACATATTTCATGAATCCATCTTCACCAACAACAATTGCTCTTTTCTTTTTCTTAGATCTTTTCTCTCCTGTCTCGTATTTCTCCATGAATAAATCCATTTCCTTTTCTACCTTTTCTACATCCAACAGCCCTCTAGTTGCTAAGGCTTTTGCCTGACTATTTTCCATGAACTCTATTGCACTATCCAGATCACCAAACTTATAAGCATATACAAACTGCCCTCGAATCTCTTCTTTTGACTTAAGTTCAGCATTATCTATTACAAGGTCCATATCATACTCCATACAGAAGGATACTAGATCTTCCTTCCTTTTCATTTCAACCTCCATTTTGAGCCTTGGATGTGTCTCCCCAATCCTGAATGGAAATTCTATCTCAAGAATGCTCATCCGGGGTTTTTAGCAATGGAATATCAATTTTTTTCATCAAAACCTCTTTCCTTTTCCAGGAGTGCCTTACAGAATCCATGGATTCCACCTTCTTCGTTTAGAAACCCACAAACATCACAAATCACGTATCTTCCACCTAATCCAAGGATAAAGTCCGTATGTTGCACCAATGATCTTCTACTTAGCTGAGGATTTCCCTCGACATTTTCAATCCATCGTTCTTGAATAAGCATATCCACTATGTCTCCAGATACTGGCATCCCACACACCACTCTTCTAAACACATCTTCAACCTCTTCGATCCCAAGGTCTGGTGGCCATGAACTTCTGTTATCTTTTAACACAATACATGATCCATCAGGCCATCTAACAGCTTCATATTGTATCGGTCTGAGAAGTTCATTCAATGTAGTTAAAACACTGTCATACTCTCCATCTACAATCCCATCAGATAGTAACTTAAGAATGATACTTGAAACATCCATCTTCGGGATTGTATTTTGTCTAAAAAAAGTACTAGGATAGACTTACATTTAATTTCATCAGAGCTCTGCCCTTACATCTTCCTCTTTTACTGCATCGGCCTCATCCCCTACCTCGAACTTTCTTTCTTCACCCTCAGGCGTCACAAACATGGACAAGTCAATACCTAGCCCTCCAAACTCACGAATAAACCTAACCAGATTCAGAAGATTTCTCTCTCCACCAGAATATCGAACACTCTCCCTCCCCCCAGACTTGTAGAGTAGAAGAGTTGGAACAAATTGAATATCAAAATCATTCATATCGTTCATCCCAACATCACAGTAACCAACAAGCACCTTATCATTGGCATTCTCCTTTACAATCTCACCTAATCTCTCAATTATGGGCTTGATCCGGATGCAATGGGGGCATCTCTCAGTTCCAAACACTATGAATCTGTCTTTAGATGTATCTTCGAGATATGTTTTGATGTTATTTCTAGTAACAACTTTTACATTCCTGCTAGCATTATCTTCGGGCTCATCCTGGGATTTGTAGAATATCTCGGCCTTCTTATCTAGCACATCCTTGATAAACCCTGAAATATTCTCCCTGGATACGTTTTTCAAAATATACTTTCCTCCGTCCTCGCTGATTGACATACATCCAGGCAGGCTTTCTTCTGTCAGCCCATATTCACCAAGATCAATGCTTCCCTTGATGCTTGGAATAAGTATCACCCTTATGTCATACCTAAAGTCATTTAAAGTTCCAGAATACTCTGCCAGCACCTCAGGCCCATTTTTCATATCAAAGAAAATATAAAAAATAGTCCCGCTCAGCGCTCTGTATAGTGAAATATTGGCCGATGAAGTAAATCCAAAAATCGGAAGATTCGATAAAGAAAGAATCCTCTTATTGTTTTCATCACTTAGCTCCAACTTGTATGACAGTTTGTCACTTGAATTATATCCGTATATACCAGGAACTGGAATTCCTAGTGAAGATGCAAGGGACAAATCCGTAGATACAAATCCCTCAAAACCTTCTTTGTTGCTTTGCAAGTTTTCCTTATATCCAGAACTATCCAAAAAGTACACAATGAAATTTCCTTGCCGGCTTTTTGAGCCCACTTCTTCAGACTTCATGGCATTGATGGCTCCTTCAGTTGGGGCAGGGTATTTCTTCAGAACATCCATCGCCTTTTCAACATCCTCAGCGCTTTGTGCTATAAAGGTCCTACCCTCATGCTTTATCTTGATACCTTCCCCATCAAACTTTTCATCTCCCGTCACATATGAAAAAACGCTCTTCATGTCCTTCAATATTTCAACCATTGATGGACTCGGAACAATCTTCAAGTTGTTAAGCAGCTGGCTCTCTTGTACATGTGCAACATCACCCATTGCATAACCTGACAGGGCAATACCAAACACAACACTAAACATCTTTTAGGGATTGTTTTGATTTTCAATATAAAAACAAAACCTGCCAAGGCTTATATGGAATGATTATTAAAAGGTCTGTACAACCTTATTATTTTAGATATAAGAGGGGATCCTATCCAGCTTTAGGTACAATATATTGTTAGAAAGGGCCAGGAGGAACATGCATATAGTCCATTTGTATACTTATAATCACATGGCCTCTTCTTAGCTCGTGTATCCTCAGGAATGCTTTCATTCCACTAAAATAAATAGAATAAAAGCCTCATCATAACATTCTCAATCATATTTTAAAAATTAAATAAGATTTAATCTTATCCAGTAGTAACCAGATCCTGGTCACTGCTGCTTATGCTTCCATAGAATTGGCGGTACTCGTATCCCATAACCCAGGACACAAATATACTTACCAGCAAGGTTACCGTAAACACCAAATAAGAAATAGTAGAGAACAGTTCTTGTTTGCTCTCAGTACCAGCGCCAGTGTTGTTTTTTGCCATGTAGGACCCAATAAGTAGAAGTAAGACAAATATGATCATCGCAATACACACCTGATAATTAGACCCGTAGACTTTACCCTCGAGATATTTTTGGAGATCAACAAAGTATGCCAAAACCACCAAGATGTTCCCAACCATAAGTATGGCCATCTCTTTCCGGTTCATTCCAGTAGATGAAAGGTGTTGAGCATATAATGTCACAATACTGGTTGCTACCATTGTTAGACAATACATACTGCTCTTAATAAGTCCCATGCTTGGAAGTCCAACAATCATTGGCATCATACTCGCAATCGCAGCCCACAGCTCCACATTTCCCTTTACTGGTTTATCATCCTTATTATATTCTCTCTTAACAATCCACAATAGATATATCATTGCTCCAACTAAAGCTAGTGAATACAATGTTGTATTCCATGCATTTCCTAGTGATGTGTCATTCTGACCAATAGCCCAAAGAATAATCTGGATGCACCCTACAGCAATAAATCCAAGACATAGATTCCCTACAAAACTCCCTGTGCTTAGCTTCTTAAGAAGCTCTTTGTGTCTTTCAAGAAGTCCAGGGGAGGACTCTGAACTAATCAAGCCATTTATCTCATTAACCCTAGAAGGAAGTTCTACCTGTAGTGTACCTCTGAGTGCAACTGCTTCATCTTTTATCTCTGTTAAAGTCTCTCTAGATAAACTTTGACCCTCCTTATCTGTAGCACATAACTTAGATGTATATTGCACAAAATTCTCTATGAGAGAATCAAGAAACCTTCTAAATTCTTCTATCTTATTTCCATCTATCAAAGAAGGATTATTTTTTTGAAAATTATCTAATTTGGCACGCATTTCATTGATATTATTTGAAAGAGTATTAAGTTCTGGGGTAAGGGAGGAGAGGTTATATTCAGCTTTGAGAAAGGTTTGACATTCTTCGAATAAGCCATTAAATTCTCGATTATCGCGAAAACGACTATATGCAGCTGAAATATTACCAATTAAGGTTTCTGAATTCTTAATGAGCCCAAATCCTTCATTATTTCTTCCTTCATCATCTTCATCATCTAAGATATTAAGAAGAATAGCAAGTGGACTTTCAGTGAATTTGCTAGTACGAGATTCCAGTAGAGAAAGGGCTGTAACCTTTACTTTACCATCTGGTGTAAGAAGATCAAATATGTAGTTAGCTTCTAGTTCAGCACTGCTTATAGCGGCTTGCATATCCTCAGAACTTAAAGCATTTAAAGCATTTAAAGCATTTAAAGCACCTCTAAGTTGTTTTAGTCCTTCAAGATCAACATTCTGAAAGTATTGGTCCAATAATCCTTGTAACTTTGTTGAATTTTCTTCGAAGGCTTCTCTTTTGGAGATTTGATTAGAAATACTGGTTATAACATCATCAAGTGCTTTCACAAAATTATCCCATTCTTGCTCATTAATATTAAGCATGGGTTAAATATTAACAGATTATTTATATACCCACACATACCATATTTGGACAATGGATGTGTGAAGATCTAATGGTCTGATGTAGTATATATCTATGCAATATTACTTTAATAGCCAATTACTACCCAAAACAATAGATACTACAAGAGTAACATTTATTAGCTAATCACACTACTTACATTACATTATATCAAATATACCAGAGAGATAAATCACTATCCACTTCATATTATACATAGATATAAAAGGGAAGCCTCATCTTATAAGAGTAGAATGTGTGAATCTCTTACATATTAATATACACTCTATAATGGAAAGGTATTCTACCATTCTATCCTAAACAGATTCTCTTCCTT